TATAAAAATTGATGCTCTGGTTTTTAGAAGGGATATCGGTCTCCTGACTGTCGAAGAATCTCGGCTTTCATCATGATGCATCATAATTCTTCCTTCAAATATCAGGGCAGAGTTTAAATGGTTTAATTTGTTTATTCTGATTAGTGCCTTTAGAAAGTTTTTTTCTACAGGATAAGGTTGCCGACCCCATGCCCAACCCTCCTTTTTACCCGGGCTTGGGACCGGCAATAGCCTTAGAAGAGCTACAGGTGGAGTCATCAGATTTGCTACACTGACAAAATTAATCTCATTACAACCTGCCAAATACTGGAAACTAAATTCCAATGCATGAATATCTGAGAGAGAAGACAAACGAGTGCATTAGCTCGTAAAAATGGAATTTTGTAATGAAATATTAGACAGTCCTACACATGACCTTGAGCACCAGAAAATCATCTAATTGCATTCTAGCGGGAGTTCGAGATAGTAGAAGTTGGTGTTTGGATTTTAACGTCATATAAAACTTCCTTTTAGCATCTTGGTTGCTTCTGAGAGGATATACATCCTTAGTGTTGATAAATAACCATAACTAGTTTCACCCACCCATTTTCTTTGATACTTGAAATTTCGCAACACCTTGTCTCGGTAATCATCGATTTGAACTAAGTGTCCTACTGTCCCATAACCCTAACATTCAACTGTAAATCCTAATTCCCAACGATAATATGTAACTCCCATCTAACCCCGTTAAGTGGACGGACATCCCTAGGTTGTTTTGGCGTTGCTCAAAAGTCTTACCCAAAACTACAGTCAACTTAAGATATCAATTGAAAGAATCGGTATACAGATACGGGAAGTAGTTATCAAGGGTCACCTAATCTTCCGAATCTAGGGAGAATGTGTCAACTTCGGAAAAGCTCTAGTACAAAACTTCGGGGAAGTAACACTGCCCCCCCTTCCAGCCAAAGAAGTTGGTGAAGTCTAGTAGGCCCTTCTGGAGAGAAACAGGGCACATTTACCGGGACTATAATGGTTGTTTCTGCAAACCTTCGGAGTTTGCCCAATGACGAGCAACTCCATATGATACATGCATCACTTTAGAGAAAAATTTTTGTCTTTTTCCATTCCAAATGTAGTTGTGCTATGTTTACCTGTAGAGTTCGTAATCAGTTGGTGGGTATAGGTAGAGTGGGTGATAAGCTCGATCTCCACCACCCGGGTTACCGCTCACGTTAGTTCATGAGTCATTCGTCTCATCCGGGAGGCACGACGCGGACGTGTGAGTCGGATTTTGCCTCCCGAAGTAACACTAAAGACCCCAAAATCTCCCCTGTCTAGTGAAAACTACGATTTTTTTATAGGACTTCGAGGAAATCCGCAAAACTTCCCAGAAATTGGGATATTTGGTTAAATGCATGTCAAAAGTACCATTTACTACTGGGTTTTGAAATTCACTTTTTCCAATATCTAATACTTTTGTAAGAAACTGGTATAAACCAGTTGATTGTTTTGCACACGCATATTGATGTTGAGGAAGCTGTTCCAGAAAAATATAGTGAATATTTGAGGCCTAAAGTCATTTACTATCCTATTTATGCTAAAAACCGTTGAAGTCTGCTGTCTGTCAGCTAAAACTCAGGATCAGTTACATATATCGGCCCAAGTTGCCATATTTCATTAGCACAACAAGATCAACACCAAATTCATAGAAGTAGTTACTTCAGTGGTAACAATATATAAAAGAAATATATAACAGAGGAAGAAAGAATTAGTTCGTAGAACTAAAGGTATAAAGTAGTTTTAATCTCACGGCTTAAGAGAAGACAGAGAGTGTATACACCTACGCCATTGCGATCGATTCTGAGCCATGTTACCCAGAAACTCCAACCATTGGTTACGATAGTCACGAGGACCCCAACCAAGTAGTCCGCATCTACCAAAATGGCTCAGACTAGAAGTTAGTGACTTCAAGCACTAATGCAACGTTTTGGTTTGGCCACCCCTAACTTGCTTCCAACCGTCTCCAACACCGGTCAGCATTGCACGTCGCGGTAATCGGTGTTCAGGCATACGTAACACATGGCCCAACCATCTCAGTCGATGAAGATTCATAACCTCATCAACTGATTTACCATCATTTCCTAATACCCTGTGTCTAACCTCACTATTACTTACCTGGTGATCCCAGCAGACGCCAGCAATATTTCTAAGGCATCTGAGATCATATACTAGTAACTTGCGAGTGTCTTCTACTCTTAATGGCCACGTTTCGCATCCTTGAAGTAGAACAGAACGAACGACCGTGCAGTATACTCGACCCTTAATTGATAGACGGATATCTCACTTTCGCCATAGGTGACATAAGTTGGCAAAAGCCGAACGAGCTTTACGAATCCGTGCAGAGGCTTCGTCAGACACCAACCTATTAGGGTTTATCAGACTTCTAAGATAAGTGAAGTTGTCAACGCGTTCAACTACTTCAATCCCTATCTTTAGTTCAGGAATTGACGCAGACCAGTCCTGAAGCAATAACTTGCATTTAGAGGGACAAAAGCGCATTCCAAACATCCTGACATTGTTGCTAACAAAAGACTGCATTTTATCAGTGTCTCCACCAAACAGGACTATGTCATCTGCGTATTCTGAATCGATAAGTATAGCTTCTGGTAGGAGATCAATGCTCGAAAATTCAGTCGACGAGAACGTTATTTCCAGCAGTAGGTCTATCGTGAAATTAAACAAAAATGAAGACAATGGACAGCCTTGATGGACACCACTTGAGGTTGCAAAAGCAGATGACAGTTCGCCATAAGCTCTGACTCGACTAGTAGTGTTCGAGTAAAGAACCTTTACAAGGTTTATGTACTTCTGAGGTACGCCTTTCAATGACAGGCACTGCCACAGAATCTCGCGGTCTACAGAGTCAAATGCTGATTTTAAGTCAAGATAAACTATCATTGTCGGATACCGATAAGCATGCCTGTGTTCTAGAACCTGACGAATGGTGAATATGTGGTCGATGCGGCCACGACCAAGTGTGAAGCCAGACTGATTTTCTCGTGCTTGCAGTTCACGAGTCTTTGTTAAGCGTCCGATAATTATTGAGGCTAGTATTTTAGATGCTATGTTAGTCAAACTAATCCCTCTATGGTTATCACAGGATGATTTTGACCCCTTCTTATATATTGGGACAATCAGTAATTGCGACCAGTCAGGTGGGGTTACGTCCAACTCCCAGATTTTAGCTAAAGTATTAGTCAACCTAATCGCTAAAACTGGGCCACCATGCTTAAAGACCTCTAGAGCCAATCCATCTGAACCAGCTGCTCTTCCTCGTTTCAGATTAGCTATTGCTTCTTGAACTTCAGTTACTGTCGAGAAGTCTGCAATAGCATAATTTAAAAATGTTCAACTTTCCAGGCAGTTCATCGTTTGATTATCGGCATATCATCGCAGATTTAAGTTGTATTCCACTCAGTGATTTACAACATACACCTTCCCCATGTATGTCCTTCATCGATGCTGTGAGTCGCAGTAAAGATGTGTTTATCCATCTTTATGATGGTACATTATCCCTTACTGTTTTAAAACCCCTATTTGGATGGCCAAGAGTTATCTGCTTCTTGATGGTTTCGTTATTGTGACTTCTCGGGATACCTAGCCTATCGTATGCCCTGATGGTGTTCACGTAATTTTCGGGTTGCCTGATCTGCCAAGGGCGATGGAACAGTGCATGGTGCTATTGTTGTGTGCTAGGTTCAAAGAGAATTGTATGCTATATGCATACAAATTTGCCCCGTTATTGTTCCTATTTGCCTCCAAGTGCCCTGGTACAGCCGAGAGTGGGGAGAGTCCGCTCTACCTCTCGAAATGCTCTCACATGGCCACGCGTATATAGCCTCTGTCAGGGAAGTCTTACTCATTGCCTTTTCGTGGCACTACTGTTGTTTACGAAATTGAGAGGACGAAAAGCGAATGTTGGTGGACATGGAGAGTCCACCTAGGGGAGTCGAAAAACTCGGATTCCAAACCACTGGTGCACATGGGCTCCAGTATCCTGAAGGAGCAAATGGCATATGAACCAATTTCTTGGTCACTGGTTACCATGGGACTGCATCTACTCACGATGCTCCACTGCCTTGTGGATCAGACCTTCAGGTCGAAGGCTCTAGGTGTGGCTCACTAAAAAAACCACCTGCTTCGGTTTGGGCACCAGGGCAGTATCACAGCCCTCACACATATCAAATGAGATTTGTGTGGCGCATATGTATTTGGTGCCTCCTTGTACCAATATCTATGTGTTAAAATAAAATGAGTCCCCACGTACGTAGTTTTATTCTTCGTGGTCCCTAACACATCATTAAGTTTCGGCGTGTGGCGATTTTACTGCAAATATTCTGGCTGCGGTTGATGATGAAGCCAACACTTATTTCTATTCATTTACTGTCTTGTAATTCTCTTGCAAATCCAGTGATCATATATGGTCATTCTCGAGTTGAGGCCAAATTAACCCTTCTAGTAGGCTAACAAACATTTCTGTTGATCGTGATCACAATATTTGCAGTGGAAGTCAAATCGTTGCAGTTATGTTAGATTTATTAGTCGGTAGCCCTCATGATGCTGCTATCATGTTCCATCCCTTTTATTCAGATTATTGGGGTTCATCAATATCTGCAGGGCTTCGTATGTCAATCCTCCTCTCTAAATCACAAAACCTTTACGAAGGATTTCAATTTTTAGTTCTAAACTCCAAAGAAAATAATCCATAATATTTGACTTCAATCGGTAAAATCTCTACTAATGTAATTCATATGTAACGTCTATTCACTCGGCACCCAGTTTTCTTAAACATATTCGTCCAAATCCCAGAATTTATGCTGATTTATTTACCTTAAAGCATATAAGGAAAGTGTGGTCCCAAATAGAAAACATAGTAGCACCTGTGTTAAATAACGTTTTGAAGCAGCAATACTCTGAAGTCTTTTTATCAACTAACAATAATCCTGGGTGCTTGTTTTAGAATGGAATCTCAGAAAGTGCGTAAATCATGGTTCGGTACAAATAGAAATCCTTTGTGTATAGCGTCTTTGGATCAAGATCGACCCTTCTTAACAGTTTCACAGTCTTATCTTATTAAGAAGCAGTCAGAATCTGACCAGATCACCACGCAAGATGTAAGTTTCGGTAAATTCAGTTTTCTCAGTTTGAATTTACTACACAAGTAGTTTTAATGTTGTCATCGTTCAGTCTTTTACAGTCATTAGCTCATAATATTTTCCAGTCACTTAACAGCGAATTTGAAAACCCAACATGGTTTTAGACTTGGCTATGCATCCACTGGCCAAACCCTTCGGCAGATTCTTAAGCACATAGACACCAATTTCCAACTATGATTATAGTCCTCAACTTAAAAACAGGATTGAACCCAGTCCACCGAGAGGCTTTTTGGTATTTACTAACGGCTGTACGAAAAATGTGCTTCAACCTCTTAAATGCTCTTTATTCGAACATTAGTGGCTCATTGAAAGCATATAGCTTAATACGTCTAACAATTAGCATTCTATATATGGATCGAGATGTGTTACTCTCAGTTATTTCATGTTTATTGTCAGATTTAGCTTATTCAAATGAAGTATTGCCAACCGCATCGCAGTGTTCACATATGACTTGAAAGCGAGCATCGTACTCAATGTCTGATTTACAGACTCTGAGAAGAAATCCCATCTTCCAGAAGGAAGTTTGAAAAGTCCCTTATCTACTCTATAAGCTTGCCCCATCTAAATAAAGAAATTACTATGAACAGTCATTATCACAGAAATCGTACGCTCATATTTTCGAAGGAATTTTCACATCTTTCAGTCATCAGTTCACTGCTATCTATCACATGAAATATGCAGTTTTGATGGTAAATTTTTTACAACTAATTAATTAATTACAAGTTCATGTACTTGCGTTTGATCCATACTTTGTAAGGATTGAGGATGCTATTTTTATGATCAAACTGACGTAGTTTTTTGAGGGCTTCAAACCTTATGACTTTATAGCTGAGTATCAAGTTCTTTGCGTGAAGCTCGTAATAAACATGGATAACTACTATATATATATTCATATTGATATCATGTCCGTAAACGCCACTTGTGATTGCAAGGTTTCTATTGTTTGTTCTGATCAGTTAAACTTCAGTTACACAAAGTGTTTATGTCTCCATCGTATCACTTGCTAAGTAGTTATATGACTTTTTTATATTTTGTTGAGATTGTATTATCTCACTCGTCTGTCCCTTTTCTCTCTTTATCCTCGAATCTCAGTGCTAGATTATTGTGTATGTTCACATTTGGTCTCTTGCCGTTGTTTGTGTCCGTAATATCTCACATTATATATCAGTGTCCATCTTTCCTCACGTTTTCGTTTACCGAAATCGGAGTATTGTGTAAAATCTGATATTCACGTAATTGCGTGCTCATTATGTTTCAGGAAAATGCGAGTGGAACAAAATCACCCAGTGGCAATTATGAAGTGACTTTACATGGAGATGAGAATGAAGTTCCTTTCACAGTAAACGTTTCTGACACTCTTTCTGTATCCATGTTCTCAAGAAGAGCTGTAGTAGATTTCGGTACGACCAACTTTACAGGAAAGTCACTGACTCGTTTCTTGCTGTTAGTAAACCATTTTGATGAAGAGCAATCAGTGAGTGCTTATTTTTTTAACAGTTTGGTTTGTATGCTGCCTTTATTGCATCCGTTCTTCATATCTACAATTTTCCTTGTCTTGAATTTTTACTCACTTATTTCTGTCAATATAATCTTTTCCCCAAATGGATTGCCTACTATATATAAAATTTAGTTCCCACGTATGTCAACCATAGGTCAGACACGATCCCTGCAACGGATGTACTAATTATTACGAGTACTTGATTTAGGGGTCCTATAGATATATCTACATAAGCTAAAAATAATATTTTCCAATAAACGTTTGACTAAGTATTTTCACACGTTTTCATTTCCTAACCCATTAAAGCTCAGTTAGAATATTTAAAATGTGTATATTAAACAACACATCTAATTCACCATGCAGATCCAGATACCAGATCTTGTGATCATCTAGTCAAAGTCAAGATCCCTAGTTTTCTCACCCAATCACCTCTCTCTTATTAAAAGACCTATTCTCTAATCCAATACTGAAGATATGTATCCATTAGTGAATATCTCAGATGTTGAAAAATTGTGTCTATTTCCTAATTTAGTGGGACTATAGAGACTCTCCTGCAATCAATTTCGATTATTGTTAGTTTTTTTTAACCCCTTTTCGTGTCTTCAACTATCTTCAAAATATTCATTCAAAATCGTAAAATTCTCATTGTTGTGATTTCGCCTATTCCATAAGCAATAAACCTACTGTTCCGTTAATTCATTTGTCGCATGATCGATAGGCTTTAGTGGCCTGTAGATCTGACTCCTATTTAGATCGTACGAATGATTGTTATCGCCTCAGTCAGTCAGTCAGTCAGCTACAACGTAGGACCAGGCACATGTATGCATCGGCCCAGGTTGCCATACCTCATTAGCACAGCAAGATGAACACCGGATTCATAGGAGTGGTTAGGTCAAAGGTGGTAATATATAGGAGAAAGATTGCAATAAGGATATAGTATAGGAAGAAAGAATTAGTTCGTAGAAAGAAAGATGTGAAGTGATCTTAATCTCTTAGTTTAAGAGAAGACAGAGAGTGTATACACCGACGCCATTGTGATCGATTCTGAGCCATGTCACCAAGGGTCTCCAACCATTGGTTACGAAAGTCACGCGGACCCCAACCAAGTAGTCTGCATCTACCAACATGGCTCAGACTAGAAGTTAGTGACTTCAGGCACTGATGCCACGTTTTGGTTTGGCCGCCCCTAACTTTCTTCCAACCATCCCCTACACCGGTTAGCATTGCACGTCGCGGTAATCGGTGTTCAGGCATACGTAATACGTGGCCCAACCATCTCAGTCGATGAAGATTCATAACCTCATCAACTGATTTACCATCATTCCCTAATACCCTGCGTCTAACCTCACTATTACTTACCCGGTGATCCCAGCAGATGCCAGCAATATTTCTAAGGCATCTGTGGTCAAATACTAGTAGCTTACGGGTGTCTTCTACTCTTAAGGGCCATGTTTCGCTGCCGTAAATTAAAACAGAACGGACAGCCGCGCAGTATACTCGTCCTTTTATTGATAGACGGATATCTCGCCTCCGCCAAAGGTGACGTAAGTTGGCAAAAGCCAAACGAGCTTTACGAATCCGTGCTGAGATTTCGTCAGACACCAACCCATTAGGGCTGATCAGACTTCCAAGATAAGTGAAGTTGTCAACGCGTTCGACTACTTCACTCCCTATCCTTAGTTCAGGTGTTGACGCAGACCAGTCCTGAAGCAACAACTTGCATTTAGAGGGAGAGAAGCGCATCCCAAACATTCTGGCATTGTTGCTTAGTGCTACCAGAAGACTCTGCATTTTGTCAGCGTCTTCACCAAACAGGACTATGTCATCTGCGTATTCTAAGTCGATAAGTGGACCTCCTGGAAGGAGATCAATACCCGAGAATTCAGTCGACGAGAGTGTTATTTCCATCAATAGGTCTATGATGAAGTTAAACAAAAATGGAGAAAGTGGGCAGCCTTGACGGACACCACTTGAGGTTGCAAAAGTAGATGACAGTTCGCCATAAGCCCTGACTCGACTAGTAGTGTTCGAGTAAAGAGCCTTCACAAGGTTTATGTACTTCTGAGGTACGCCTTTCAATGACAGACACTGCCACAGAGTCTCGCGGTCTACAGAGTCAAATGCTGCTTTTAAGTCAAGAAAGACCACCATCGTCGGACGCCGATAGGTATGCCTGTGTTCTAGAACCTGACGAATGGTGAATATGTGGTCGATGCAGCCACGACCAGGTCTAAAGCCAGCTTGGTTCTCTCGTGTTTGTAGTTCACGAGTCTTAGTTAGGCGTTTGATAATTATCGAGGCCAGTATTTTAGATACTATGTTTGTTAAACTAATCCCTCTGTGGTTGTCACAGGATGATTTTGACCCTTTCTTATATATTGGGACGATAAGTGATTGCGACCAGTCAGATGGGATAACGTCTAATTCCCAGATCTTAGCTAAAATATTAGTCAACCTAATCGCTAAAATTGGACCACCATCCTTAAAGACCTCTGGAGCCAATCCATCTGGACCAGCTGCCCTTCCTCGTTTCAGATTAACTATAGCCTTCTCAACTTCAGCAAGAGTTGGGGGACCTACTTCAATGTTCCATTCACTTTGTCTGGGAATGGAGGGTAGTTGTAGAGTAGCTGAAGGCCAGCTGAACTGTTCTCTAAAATGTTCCGCCCATCGTTCTAAACGTCTGGACTGGGAGCAGATGAGAGTATCATCTTTTTCCGAAATAATCTCACTTACACTTGACTTATTAATTCCAGTTTCTTTTATTAGTCTGTAAAGCTGTCTTGTGTTCCCTATAGTCGCCGCCTTTTCCATCTCTTTTGCTTTCGTTACCCACCACTGCTCACGGTCGTTCCTTAGACTTTTTCTTAACCTAGATCTGATTTGTTTACGCTCTTCATCATGTTCAGAACCTGATGGGACGAGTTTGCGAGAATCCATCAGTGTGACAGACCTTGAAGAAATCCACTGGTTCCTTGTAACTCTGTGGTTTAAGTCACTAATAGATGTCACTGCTGTTTCCACAGCTGCTTGTATGCCCTTCCAAGCAACATCTGGGTCAGCCTCGTCTTCACAACTACCTAAGTGTGACCTCAGTTGTTCCTGGAACCTACTTTTGGTTTTCTCGTTACTCAACTCAGTTCTAATGGGTCTTTTTAATGTGGCTTTTTTGCGTCCAGTGAGGCGCAAGCAGATGCGTGCCCGTATTAGGGCATGGTCGGAGTCCAAGCAGGTACTCCAGAATGAGCGACAATCTTCTACCGACCCTCTCCAACGATGACTGATGGCAATATGGTCTATTTGAGTCCATCGTTGGTTTGGTGTAGGGGGTCGCCATGTTAGACGATGTCTCTCCTTATGCTTAAAATTTGTGTTTGCTAAAAATAAACGATTGTCTGAGCATAGCTGCAGCAGACGATCACCATTATCTGTTCGCTGTGTCGGAATACTAAAATATCCACCTAAATGCCTTTCTGTTTGGTTTAAACTGCCTATCTGAGCATTAAAATCACCTGCTACGAGTACTATGTCTGAGCGTTTAGCTTTCTGAAGAAGTTCGGACAGCTTTCTGTAAAATTCATCTTTCACTTCATCTGAGCTGCAGTCAGTGGGAGCGTAGGCAGAAACGACAAAAAGGCAACGACGTGTGTCCCTATCCTTCCGAGTTCTTACGTAGCCGTTCAGCCGAACAGCACATAGACGACTGTTGACGGGGATCCACTCTAGCAGTGCTTGTTCGGGTCCGATGCTTAGTGCTATGCCTACACCTGCCAGTCCACGAGAACTTGCCATCGGGTCACCAGACACACGAAGGGTGTATCTCGTTGGCTCTCCGTCTTGCCGAGGTGAGGTCAAGTGAATGACCACACTGGAATCCTGTATGCGTGTTTCGGAGACACAGCATACATCAATGGAAAGAGACTCTAGGGTTTTAGCCAAGGAAGCCTGCTGACCGATTTGACATAGGGTGCGTACGTTGAAGGCTCCAATGTGTAGTTTGGAGCGAGGTTTCAGTAGACCTGGGACAGTGTTTTGCGCACTAGAATCGTTGGCTACGGTGACACTTGAGGTGGAAGCCGAGAGAGGAAATATAGAGTTGAAAGTCGATGTAGGAGGAATAATAGGAATTGAAGAGGAGGTTGATTATGAATACAGTGGTCTTGAGTGCTGTTAGAAGTATGAGGGCGGTTATCACTTCCCGGTTGCCCACACCGTGGAAGGGTTGTTCTGGAGGTACCTGAAAAGGAAATTGGATTAAAGGTGGTCTTAGTGACCTGAGAGCGTGACCGCAGTGCCCAAGGGACAACTGCTTGAGGTCGGTCACACACGACCTTGTTATGGGTAATTTTTGTGTTAGCTCCGTACTTATTGAGACCTTACCGCCGGAGACGGATATCCGTGGGATAAGGCGAGGTGTGCATTTTTAGGGTCGACCTTTTCTAACCCCACCCCTCCTTGTGGGAAGGCAGCATCGCTGTCATGCTGGTTGTCTGAAGGAAACACCTTACTGCTGTCACACCTCTGTACAGTCAGCAGTACGACTTCGCCTTCGGACCTTGGGTTTGTTGCTTTTAGTCTTACCGCTCTTCAACCGACCTGTCTGACATGGTAGGACCTTGAGGAACGGTTGTTCCAGCCAGTATAGCTCGGTTGCTTCATCACGATAGGCAAGCCCGACCACCACGTCAAGGTAGCAACAACGGTCTCGTATATAATCGTCGACTTAAATCACGTTATCTAATAACGGAATTAAATAAGTCGATTAACGAGAATTGATTTGTGAATGCATATATTTGTATATGAAGCGAATGAAGCATACCAAAGCAAAATGACACGCAGGGAAGATGGCTGCGGAGCCAACTCCATTTTAGTCAAGCGTTACTCAATATTTATAGTCAGACAAAATAAAGCTACAGACATGTGATTAATGGGATATGAAGTATACACACATATACGCTCATATAAAAACAGCCAAGACTGATAAGCGAATAATTGACAAGGTCAAAATATGACTCAAGGAGAATGAATAGAATGGAATGTCCGAAAGCTAGAATAAGATATATGGGCTTAAAATAATAACTGACACGACAAGGCTACAAAAACTCCAACGTTCCCAAACTCCTATGTTATCTGGACTTTGAACTCATGTGGTTACACTTGTATGGTGCAACACGTAACACATAAATAAAAAGTTTCAATAATGACATAAATGATATTTTGTTGCATAACTGTGAAACGAACTTACAATTAATCGAGTGTGGTTTACGACATCCAGAAGATCTAAAATCAACCATTGAATCAAACAATAACTTACAATTAGAACTATACTAAAATACCATAAAACCACTGATTGATTAACGTTCGTTAAAAATGTGCAAATAAATTCACTATGTTTCTCTCCCATCGCTTATTGCTAACACTTACGTTAGCGAATACTAAACATGTTTCCTCTTATAGTTATTCCTCCTACAATTCGATCATAATATGGTGGAACTTGCTAACAATCTACATGTTTATCTACTCCACTTATTTAAGCACTAAAGTCGATAGTTGGTAAGTACGATTGAGTTCAAATCTGTCAAGCGTTTCAATCATTTGACTAATATCACGGTCTGATGCTTAAATCACATCTCAATTTTTGGCTAACACGGCTTCTAGCTTCATTTTTTAAGTTCGAAGATTGACTGATTATTGGTGTTAATCAAAGAGTTATTTTCACAACAATTCTATTTATTCTTCTTTAATGGTATGAAAACTAAAATCACTTTTTTTAATTTCGAAAAGGTGATGATCCAACGTAGTCCTCCGGAAAATGAATTCACCATTGATTGGATAACTTCGGAAACTGACAATTTTACATCTCGACCATTCCATCCTGCAATATCTAAACGAATCATCCTTAAGCCTCTCCATGGTAGATCTCTCATGAAGATAACCTGGATACCTATTCGCGATTCTGTCTCAGGTGGTGTTTACAGTTTTCATCATGTGATTCAGTTTCGTGTTAATGACGCTTACTTTATTCAGGCTGTGATTGTCGGTCGTTTGTTACCACCTGAAAGGCCTAGTCGTTCCAAGGTATGACTCAAGCAAACAATAATTAATCATGTTTGAAATAGTTATAAATATAATTTATGTTTACCATAATTTACCATAACATTGATTTGTCGATGTTGGTGATTAAATATTATAGTGCAAACTGGTCTAGATTCGTTGCTGGCTTTATCTTATTTCGCAAGCAATGACTGAGTAGTCAACATGATTTTTAAAATGTAAAAAGATCATCAATTTTTACCTAACCCACATTTTATCACACAAATCTATATAATGTTGCTAAATTGTACCTTATTTTTGCCAATCGGAAAGTGATCTGACATCACAGAATGAGTCTATGTTGTCGTCCAAAATTGAGCAGTAACACTAACTCTATATTACTGTCTTAGTATTTATTTATTGTAGAAAATCCTGTATAATTTAAATATTCTTCTGAATATATTTTACTATCTAGTGTACTGCCTATAATCCGGTGTATCAACTAATTTTTTTCAAAATCATTTTGAATATCCTAGTGAAGAGTTTGAGTACTTGTTTCGTTCCTATCTATTTTATATGAAGTGTCTGAATTTATTATCTACTAAACAGTATCTAAATCTTTGAAATTTCATTCTCATTCAGAATGTAACTAATTTAATTAACGTTATGTTAATTGAACCCAGCAATATATTTGTCATACTTATAGTAAGAATATACAAGAAGTTTACTTTCTTTTTGTTCTTTTAGTTTCTTGCACCTAGAAAAACAATAACTAATCGATTTCCCAATTTACCCGCTTGGATTAAAACTTCTTCCTCCAATTCGTCTGCATACTGTTCTAAAAATAAGATAAAAAATAAACCTGTTAACTCACATGTAAGCCGTTCAATTTTTAAGTTGGTTTCGATTTCTAGTTTTATTATTTTGTCCATCAGTTGGACTGATTAAACTATGTGATGTGGCAATGTTTTCAACACCAATTGTTTATAAAATTGTGTACAATCTTTTTTTTCATGAAACTTGTTGTTCACTAGTAGAAAAATCCAATATATATTACCGTTATCAGTCATATATGTTTTCTGTATATGTGAAAGCACTATTACACACTGTTTCCAACCTTTTATTAGGGAATCAGATACGATCATTCTACATATTTGTATAAGTGCTGTGTAAGAAAGTAAATTAATTTATAATTCTTTTATACAGATCCTCTGTATACACTTGTCAAATATTTTATTGATTGGTTGTTTAATCATATATTTTACTATAAACTGGTAAATCAACTCATTGTACGCTTCGGTTTGGGCATCAGGGCAGTATCACAGCCCTCACACATATCAAATGAGATCTGTGTGGCGCATATCTATTTGGTGCCTACTTGTACCAATATCTATGTGTTAAAATAAATAAACGCTCATTAAAGTTCCTTTAACTCTTTGGAACTTTCATGTGAGGGTTGTAAGTTGTTAAACCCCAGTATGGGAGTTTTCAACAGCCTACACATACGACCTCAGTAGGCATCGAACTTAGAACCTACAGGTTCAGTGCTCCCGCGTTTTCAGTAGTTCTTCAACTGCAACCAATCTGTAACAAAAACAGTTTAAAAATTAAACTGATCTCTACAAAACCCGTTGATCTGAACTATAAATTGAAGTACTTTTTAAGTATAAATGGGACTTCCTTTTGAATAAAACTATGTATGTATATTTCTACTTTTGGCCTAGTCCATTTCTCCAATATCCGAAATTCATCGTCATATATCTTCTTCATTTTCTACACAACCTACAACCGTCTTTGGTCAGAGCTGTGATTTCAGTAATCTCACCACTTCTAGCTTCACATCTGAAAGACCTCAGAATACAGATTTTTGTCGTCCACAAGCAATCGAAAAATCATTTATCGATGAATTAAGTGCAGACGACTTTCTACGTAAGTATCTATAATAATTACTATTGTTTTATTTTGTATATGCGTGAAGACAATTACCAAATATTTACTGAAATAATGTGACAAAACGTCCAGGGATTTTCCAATTTTCCTTTCATAATTTTCATCGACGTATCATCTTTATTAACCAATCAAAACATTTTTGAACGAAAGATGTGAGCGATAAGAACAATATCAATATACCACTTGAAGTTGCTAATAGGAGGTTATTTATTTATTTGACAAATAAGTCAATAATGAAGTGGTTCAACTCATATCTTAACTGTACAAAAAGCCGAAATGACTTACAATAAGTCTCAAGGCTAATCCATCACCACGTCATAGACCAACTCCCACAAGATTTAACCCTTTTCGATATGATTTGCACCAGTATACAAATTATCACTTCATGTTTCTCACTTATTGCCATGTAGCTATTGGTTATTACTCATTTTTCAGGCTTTCCTTCATATGGTAGACGATAACATATATTGTGTAATCCTGATACAAACATATTTCTACCGACTCTCTTTCCTTTAAATTCTTGTATATCACAATGGTTCTAATATAACCTTAATGTTTATTAATCTGTAGCTATAGTGTTGATGAAATTCTAGTATTTGGAGTAGTATTATGCTTAATCGCTGTTAATCTGTCATTACTATTTTGTAAAGTTAAAACAACAGAAAGTCGACGTCGATCAAGTTCACAGCCGACAAGTGCTACTCCCACTAGAAATCTGTCTATTTTTGGTAGATTCCATGAGATGAAGGAGCTGAGTTCGTCTAGACAGTCAATAACTGGATCAAATAAGTTGTGCTCAGATACGAATTTAACTACAGATGTGAATTTTTTGAATTGCACTGCTACGGCGTTTGTTTCACCGAAGCTTGTACGTTCACCTGCTTTGAAAGGAGGTAATATTAATGTTTTAATTACTTCGTTTTTATTCTATTATGTAAGTCATTATGCATGTTTATCCATGTTTATCCACTCGATCTTAAGCCATAGTTCTTTGTATGTGCTAATGATACTATCCGGTTACCTAAGCCATACTAGGTGGATCGGTCTTCGAATATTATTATCTGAGGTTGGAAAACCTTAAAATGACACCATGTGGTTAATAATACATTGATGTCGTGATTTACATTGTTCTCTATAATATGTTTTCTGTTTTTAACCAGTGATTAGCTAGATCTATATGCTATCCGCCTATTCAGGATTCTGTAGCCTATCTTCTTCGAATTTCCATAACACTTCCATCCGTGTATTCACTGAATCTCTGTCTTCTAGTTCATAATTTTGTAAAGTCACCTTTATATCATTCAAGAAGTAAATAAGAGTTTCTTATAGGATCATAAACTAAATGATATCATTTCAGAAAGATAGTTGAAACTATCCCATTCCTGGTCAGAATAAAGCATCTGGAAATTAACTATCATTTAGCTCTGCATTAATGTCCCATATATGACTTTGCTTGGGCGTTAATAATACTACCCATATATTTAAGTTGACGTAAATGAGGTGCAGTTTAAATCCATTGCACAGTAGCTGAAATTCGAGTACTTCAACCATAAGCAATCGCCCAACAAAAGATATTGTAATGAACCTGAAGTATATGAATCAAAATTGGCAGTCATGTACTCATAATGTAGGAGATAGTGTAAGTGTATCTACACCATTGTAATCGATTCCAATATGTTTTTCGTCTCTAATCGCTGGTTTCTATCATCTTGAGAACCTCATCTGAGAAGCTGCTACCTACCTACACAAGTGAGATAGGTAATTAGTGATTCCAAAGACTCGTGTTATGTTTTGATCTGAACACTTTTTCAACTTATTTCCATTTCAGCTCACATCGCATTTCATTAAAGCTGATAACCTGTCATGTGTAACCCATAGTTCAGTTGTCTTAATAAATCTAAGTCCTCAACCTTGTCGACCAAATGGCTTGTTTTCCTCATTTGAAATTTTATACCCCAACATTTCTCACTTTTTTATTTTGAGAACAGGTATTGAGCATTGTTGTAGAGAATCACTTAACCGAATACTTATAGTCTTCACATGTTACTTCTCAGTCCTATTAGTTATAGCTCAAAATCATAGAATATTATAAAACGAGTATTGTGCAATATAAACGCCTTTTTGTAGACAGTTAGATACGTTGCTAAACCTAAAAACTCAAATACTGAGATTGACTGTTAACATGTTATGACTTTAAGTTGGGTCGATTTCTACCCTGTGCTAATTGTTGTGTCCTTGACTGGAAAAATTAGAGAGCAGCGTACTTATCGATCGATTCAATGACACGTAAACACGTACGGACAGCCTAGAGTCTCGATTGGTCTCGCCTCCCTGTCTAGCCCAGTCAGTTGAGTCCAGAACACAAGTCACAGCCTCGGAGATATGAATCATTGTATTTCAGACATACTCTATTTATATACCAACCAAACATACCACATCGTACCATAAAAATAGAAAACAACATTTGTACAATATTTAACGGATGAAATAAATAATGGCCAATAGGAAATGTCCATTTAACGTCCAAGGACATCACTAGGCTTAACATGATAATGATTGGCACATTATTCTGCATCCATAACATAACATGAATTAAAAATTCTAACTTCTTTGAGTATCGTTCTGAGATAGTTGATTATATAGGATGTGTCCCGTCAATAAGGGTTCTTTTTTGTGACGTTATTGTAGTCTTGATTCATCATTATAACATGAGTTTTAGCCTCATCATTATAGTGTTCTTGATGCGTCTGTCTTGTCAAATTCAATGTTCGATAGATGATACATTTACAGCTCCGTCTTAGTTGTATATGTGCTCACTTTTAGGAGATCTCTGTCTGGATTTTTATGGTCTTAATATTGAATGGTTTTAATGATAGGCTTTTAGAATGGGCGTTAGTAGTGAGAGAAACACAGGAAACCACTGATTTCATGTTCTTTGTTAATTGATACTGGTAGTGATAAGTCTGCTAAATGAACGCTCGATCCGATTTCCTAGCCCTTTGCCAATAAACTCGAGCTAAATCTACACGTCAACCTAAACACAAGAGAAAATACACAATGTGCGAGAAGAACACTTTACTCCAAGGTTAGTTTGTATGCAGAAAAAACGAGGTTATTTCTAGAGTTATACGCGCTCTTGAGCTTCTGGAACCATATTAAACTTAGTAATAGTGTAGGTGAATATCCAATCGAACGAGTGTCATCTGATTCTGCATTTTCTAGATGTTTCTGCGAAGATCCTATTCAATGCTGACTGGATAAAGCGTTTCTTGGGATTTCTGGGCCTCCTGGTACTTTGACGAGAGATATTTTTGAGACTTCAACATCGAGGAGCAATTTTTCAACTGAAAACTGGATCAGGAATGCTGTTATGACTCAATGGGGAGTGGAACCACTGGGTTCAGTAGCGTGGGTATTATGTTGTTGAGAATTCGTCATCACGTTATTATCCTCTTCCAATAGTCCAGTTTATTCCAGAAGAACGGAAACCACCTGCGACTTTCGCATCGAAGTTTGGAATAGGAGGCTATATAGCTTGGGGCATTGGTTTTAATGTCAACCAGTCCTTACACACCACTCATGAAATTCTTTTGCAGATTCTGACCCACTGACTGATTTATGTGCGAAATCTCGAAATCTAAAGACAGGTCTTGTCTTGAATACAGTACTACGAAAGGAAACAAAAATAATAACTCGTTAGGTATATTAACATGTGTTACGCCGCCAAGATGCAGCAAAGTATAAAGCATGTCCATTAAATGTAATGAATAAAAAACTTTGTTATTTGTTGGGGCTCATAGGACTCTACAACGCTGTGTTAAACTTTTACCAGCGATCACCAAAGAATTGAGCGCTATAGTTCTATAGAAGTCAAGATGTTCAGACAAGGTGTCAATTAGTGGCATATATAATAGGGATTACACATAAAAAGGGACAATTACTACATGAAGTACAAATGAAAAATTGTATAGAGGAAATTTTACAAATGTTTGTGATTAGCAGTCTAGTAAAATGACTTCATTACACCTGTTGCTCCTCATGGAGCATAAACCGCCTACTAAAACTCTCCAACCCTGTATTGAGCTCCTCTTTTCAGTTGTTTCTAATTGCTATGCATTCCTTTGATGTCTGTCTCTAATTCCCGGCGCGATATGTTCTTTGATCTGCTTCTTTTCCCTTTGGCTTCAGAATTCCAAGTTACGGTTTGTTTCGTGATGCAGTTTGAAGACAAATCAGTGTTGAATGAACATAAACTACTGAATATCAATAAGTAGCACAGTGTGTTTTACAAAAAGTACCGAGTAAGGGAGATGGCAAAACTGATTCAACACTATTAACGAGACATTCTTCCACTTTATTCATAGAATGATAAACCTAAATATATATTAAACAGTCTTCATGGTACAATGATATAGTTTTGAATGGTAAATTTTGAACCAGACATTAAAGAAGGATATCATGATTCTATGACTAGCATAAAAGATAGTTTAACGTATAAGGTTATGATTCCAAAGATCAAGATTTCATTACAAAGTGAATTATGATGAATAAGTTAACAAACGAATTATAACTTTTTAAATAAAAACAGAGTGAGTTTCTCATGAATGCTACACATCTCATGTATTCAGTGATATGAGGCTTCTGTTTTCAGTCGGATGCTCCACAACTATCATTGCTATGATTGTACCGAGTAAAGTAATCAGCTTTATGACTTGATTACATATTTTCTAAACTTATGGTTTGTTCGTATTCCGTTATTAAAAACAGTACAAACGTTTACGATAAGTAATTCCACTAAGTTGAAATCATAATTTAAAAATACAATCTGGACATCTTAACCTTATCACGTTTGTATCTTCTACACCTATGAATCATTTTTACCTCTACACTATGAATCAAGCGGTTTATCATAAGAGTTTGCTCTGCTCATACACTTCTTACAATGCAATCAATATTGTATTCCTGATGCAAACATATTTCTACCGACTCTCTTTCCTTTAAATTCTTGTATATCACAATGGTTCTAATATAACCTTAATGTTTATTAATCTGTAGCTATAGTGTTGATGAAATTCTAGTATTTGGAGTAGTATTATGCTTAATCGCTGTTAATCTGTCATTACTATTTTGTAAAGTTAAAACAACAGAAAGTCGACGTCGATCAAGTTCACAGCCGACAAGTGCTACTCCCACTAGAAATCTGTCTATTTTTGGTAGATTCCATGAGATGAAGGAGCTGAGTTCGTCTAGACAGTCAATAACTGGATCAAATAAGTTGTGCTCAGATACGAATTTAACTACAGATGTGAATTTTTTGAATTGCACTGCTACGGCGTTTGTTTCACCGAAGCTTGTACGTTCACCTGCTTTGAAAGGAGGTAATATTAATGTTTTAATTCGTTCATTTTTGTGCTATTTTGTTGGTAATGAAAGGATTTACCAGTCGCCATCTATCACACTAATAATTTTTGCTTATAAAGTTTTTTTCTTGCACAAGCATTCTCATCTGCTTGATGCTCTCATATTAAGTTTGAACACAGACCTCTCAATTGTTCTTATTCTTATAGTTCATACAAATCTTCTTGAATGTCATTTTCGATGTACCTCGTATATAAACAAGAGAATTATGCTGATGCAATATTGAATTACTTTATTCTTAAGACTGTTGATAAATGAAAGTATTAGTAGCGTGAAGTGCTAATTACCATGATAAGCTAAAATAAAATACATCATATATTCTTGGCATGATTGTCCTTCATTACTTTTGTGAATCAGTAATGCTGTTTCTTAGCTCATTAGGCATGTTTAAGATCATATTCTTGACCCTGGTGTTCCTTTTACCTGATGCCTAATAATAATAATACATCGTAAAATTATCTAATTTGGATTCACAGCTGTAACTAATTGGATTGATCTAATCACCATACCAGTCTAGCAGCTTTCAACTTTTACAGGCTGGTGTTGTAGAAGTATACGAACGTTGGCTACTGGAGAAATAGAACTATTTTTGTTATGCATTGTATACCATTTACTTTGAGAAAAATAAGGACAGCCAATCATTTATCCTCTTAGTCGTTTTCAATTGTGAAAACTTACTTAATAGAACAAAACTATTGTTAGAAGTGTAGTCTAAGAAAGGTCATTAAATATAAATGACGTCATTTATGATAATTTATTACAGCCACGACAACCAAGATACTTTTTTCGTATTTGTAAGTAGACTTTCATGGGTCGTTTTTGTTCATTAATGTTGGCTGAAGTGCGAATAGTAATAGCTTCCCTATCGTTTTAACAAACTATGAGGTTATTACTGTGATTCCAAACTTGACATCATAACTTAATCATTGTCCTATTCTTCTTAGATCACCTTTCTTTTCGCCTACCTCCGTTGCACTTTGTTTCTTTTTTCCCTACTTTTGAAAGCAACAAATCCTACTCCTTTTTCTGTCACAGATTTCCTCATATTTTGCAGAAAGACGTTATAGGGACTCACGTGCAATTTAGTTTATTCTCATTTAACTCAGTTAAGCCCTTTTGCTAACTTATTTAGCGGACAAAGTCATCCGCACTATAACAACTTGTTGTACTTTTATTATTATTGTACTTGTATGAAATTTGTGTGAACGAACATTGTTTACAGCCTACGCATATATTCATCCTGCCAACTACATTATTAACTGCTTAATCTATTCGTTGACTCATCCATTTCCCTATATATATATATATATATATATATATATATATATATATATATATATATATATATATATATATATATATATATATATATATATAATTTATATACATTTACTACTGCTACAATCACAGTTCGCTTGTTCATTCGTTTTGCCTCTCTGTTGTGTGGTTCGAATTATCTTCTAATAAAACTGTAGTAGCTGCTTCTTTTTACCTTCTGATTTCAAACACCGTCGAAGATTATATGGTAACGGTACGAGGGTGATTAGTTATCGAAGCACAGCCACTACAACGTACACTAGTGTCATATTTCAAGTTACTTTTATCCGCGTCTCTGAATAAAACTTCCAGCAGTCATGATGCGTGTAACTGAAAGCAATATTGAGGCAATAATCCTCACAGGATTCACATACTCCAAAAAAGACTGATCAGTTGCTGTCCTAAACACTAGTGAGAAGGTCCAAATAACCAATACAAATGAATTAAACTTCAGCCCATTTCAAAAGTCAGTATCGAGGTGGATAACGGGATAGTGTATGAGGCGAACAGAAGTTGGCTCGGGTTAACATCCACTCTGGGACCCAGTTGCATTCATCTGACGAGTCCCAGCTAAGACAAAACACCCGTCCTTGATTCCACTACTAACCACCATCTATATCTGCTCACAATGCTTGTGACTTAAGGCATTATCGTGCCAGTCAGTCAGTCAGTAACAACGTAGAACTTCGTACGTACGTACATCAGTTCGAGTTGCCACACCACATTAGCACAGAGATGCACTTGTCGATTCAAATCCCGTCGTGGTAGAGGTAATAAGAGTATAAGCAGTAATCGGGAAGATTAGGGTTTGGAGATGTTATTTAAAGAGTATAATCCAGTGAAAGAAATTTGGAAAGAGGAAAAAAAGGGACATGAAGAATTCAGAAGATTAGAATTTGGGAGAACACAGAGAGTGGATGCACCTGCGCCATTGCAAACGATTTTGGCATTATCGTGCCAATCCGCACAGGATCCATATATACCGAAAGATCTATTAGAGTAATGAACATCAATGTAAATTTTCAAACAACCATTACAAATAAATCATAATCTGTTTACGAATATACAACTAAGATATTAAAAGATGTAATTTATAAAAAAATAAGTAACAAGGGATAATCTTATTCTGATTCCTACTAATATGTCACTAATTTTAAAACTTCATTTTCGTGTTAATAATAATAACAACACACTTTTAAAACTTTTTTAAACATTTCTTTTAAGAACGTTCGATCATTTCAAAGTATGTACATGTCATGGCTGTTGATGCAAGAATTTCAAAGAAACATATTCCTAAAAATGAAAAGCGTATATCTAAAATATATGTATATGAAAACTATGTCTATACATTAGCTTAATAAGCATTTCCTCTATATCTGTTCATCATTTGCATGATTTAAATGTTGGCAACTTTCTGTGTTTTTTTTCCTAACGTACCCACGTTCAATTGTCTTGCATTTCTAGCACGTAGATATTCTTTTTCCGTAATATTTATCTCACTTATTGTTAAATCTCAATATTCGGGGTCTAGTACTAGCCTACAATACTTGCGGAGTTAGAAACAATTGAGCTACTGTAGTACGACCTATTTTATTACATAGATCGATAACGAAACCTAGCACACAACATCTCAATACTTGTCCATTAACACAGAGAGAAGACGAATTTTAGGAAAACTTGATATTAGAATACAAGTAAAGTAAAACGAAATGGTACAACTCTGTATGTATGGTAACTAAAACATAATAATCAAGCACACAGAATTTCGGCGAGCTGAAAGTAGTTGTAACTAATAAGGAAAAGGCAAAAATCGTGTGGAAAATTGAACTTTAAAAAAACAGTTATGGTTATCGTTTCTAGTAAGATTTCAGCATTTTTAACAAAACTTGAGTAATTTTGTAATCAACTTATCATCTAAGTCGTTTCTTATAAGTGCATTTGAATAACTTACATAATTCTCATTTTACTGCTTTCACCTTCCTTCTCTATTACTTGTTGAAAAGTGCTAACCATTTGTGTCTATGGTTATTTCAGATTTAAATGGTCATTAACTTTTGTTAGTTATCGTTAATATTACTCATGTATTTTTATTATTTAAACAGAAAAGCATTCGATTTTCATTTTTAACAATTGTAAATATTGTACATTATTTTTATATTCGCTTTGTTTCTCAGTTACCTGTGCACCTGTATCCACCTATAAAAAGAGACAGGATGGAAATCTATTTTACACTAACGTGACCTCTGTTTTATCTGAGATGAGTGTTTATGGTTTGACTCAGTGGCTGAATGGTGTATTTGCTCCATGTATTGCAGCTAATAGTTACAATGGACATCCAACGACCTCTTCCAAGGATATTTGTGTAGTTGGATCAAGTGTGTATCATTCAACAGTGGAGAAAGCAGTTGAATTACTGACTTCAACTATTATCATGACTCCTGGAGAACGCATAGAACGTGAAGTAGACAATGGAAAGCTAACACCTGTCCAACTGCTATCATTTCGTGTTGATAAAGGTATGTATTAACCTTTTAAATAATGTATGTTCATTGTTACACTTTTGAATATATAACGAGTATTCATAATTTTTTTCCAATTCAAGGTTCCCAACGTCGAATTCAAGACTATTTGTTGTTAAATTATGCTCCAATCTGGCTTCATCTTACTTTGGATGCGTTAATAAGTTCTTCTTCGACTCAGTCTTATTCATCAGTCACGTCACACAATGCTTGCTCTACAATTATACCAGAGATTAATGACCAACCCTACCCTGAGGATAACAAAAATGTATATACAAGTTGTTTATCTAAAAGATACATAGTTACCTTTTTGATTCTTTCAGTCTAAATAAACCACTTTTACCAATTAAACCAGCTGCTGATAATAAAAAACTAAAACAGTCGTCTCATCATACAACTAGAAACGATACAAATTCGACAAAACCAAGTAAGCTTATTTACATGACTTTAAAGAGATAAGATATTTTGATATTTGGCCTTTACATTCATTTCTTGTAAGTATTCCAATCTCATACTGTTAAGTCAAAGTGATAAACATTAACTGTGACACCTTTTCAGATTTCGTGTTTTCCAAAATAATGTACACGCTAAGAAATTCGGTGTCACTGAGGACGTAGTCTTACTACCAACTGTACAGTGTTGTAATGTCAGCAAAATGTTTCTCTTAGACAATCAGCATTTGCATTGATGCTGCCTTCCCACAATAAAAGGAGGAGATTAGAAAATATCTACTCTAAAAATGATATTTCAACTTGTTCCTCAGATATCGTCGCCGGTGTTTAGATTCAATAAGAACAAACCTAACACATCAAAAACTTATCACGAAAAAATCTTGTGTGATCAGCATCAAGCATTTATCATTTGAGCACTGTCTATAGCATTAGTCCATGCAGTCATTGACTTTTAATCTGCACCACGTTACGAAATTTGTAATTTGGATCCCTTCAATGACCGCGATCAAAATCTAGAGACGTTGAGTAATACTTCCTAAAGTCAGTCATAATAGTTCAGTTGCATTTTCTCTCAATCTTAGATTTTTGTATCCCTTCATACGTACCTTTACATTCCTTGTCGGATGATATTCTCAATATTTGATCCTTGATCATCATCACTAGTACAATTATTTCTACTCATTTGTCATTTACCTTGTTAACCTCATTCTATTGTGTTAAGGTAGTGTGACAACTTGAACTGACGGACATTTATGCCAGGTTCAGTGTTAATTATGAATATTGTCACCGAAAATAAGTATATTTTTTGTGAGCAATATAAATTCATTCATATACATTTATTGATACCTTGGTAATTTAAGCATGTAATTTGTGTATTTTGTACTCAATATTATACACATTAAATAATTAGTATAGTTAAATATTGTTCAATTTTCATCCGATTACGATGTTGTGATAAAATATTCTCTATGATACTTTAGGGTGTTGAAACTCTTAAACTTAATCTTCAAAATCTTCATTACGAAACGTCAAGAACTAATGTTCTGAATTATTGAACTGTCAAACAATCCCAAGCTAGTACTTCAGAATTCTCATTCTACGATACTACTTTTTGTATTTCATTGAAATCATAAACCGACATTAGTTAGACCACCACTGAAAACCTAAATACTCTGGACGGCCGTTTCGTCATAAAATGGAACTCCTCAGGAGTGTACACCGGTGATCCTGCATGTAGGAATCGAATCCCATGACCTTAAGTCTCGCACGCGATCGCTTAGCCTCTGGACCACTGAGTTGGCATCCAACGGTGTTAATAGCTAACCTCAACTAATCCATGATATTGCTCACTAGAGGTAATTTTCGGAGTTCTAGTAAGAAGCCATAACTACTGGAGTTAATCCGTGTCGAATGTAAGGCAGTTACCCACCGAAGACAATATTGGGTTAGGGCTTTGGAGGTCCAGTGTTTGCACTAGACCGAAGGTCTTGGGTCCGATTCCCACATGCGGGACCATGGATGCGCACTGCTGAGGAGTCCCATACTGTGACGAAATGACCTTCCAGTGCATCCAGGTTTCCAATGGTGGTCTAACGTTGATCGGTTCATGATCACAATTTATATATATATTCTTTTAAGAATATCTAATAACTAATAAAATTTGTTAGCTTTACTGAATACTTTCTATTTGTGTAATTTTTACAGATATATTACCAAACCGTGATATCCTCTATAATCGTCATGTGATTAAACGATTTATCATATTTATTTGGATTATAGACTGTTTTAAAAGGCATATGTTAATTAAATATGATCCATGCTTATTTCGCATTAAATCTCTCATTAAAGTAAGTTATATTTTTAACTGATAATAGAATTAAAAGATCATGTTAAGAGAAAAAGATGAAATAAACAATATAAACTGTCATAAATTAATTTAATAATCAATACATTTTTATCATAAACAATTAATGTTTTTGTTTATGATAGTTTTATTTGAACATCACAAATTTATCTATAAACGTACGTAAGAAATATTCTTTAAATGATTCCCTTTAAAATAAACACTGTGGATTATTATCTACATAAATAATGTCTCTTTTTCAGGAAACAGTGACTCTGATAAAAGACTTCGTCCTTTATATACTTATTTTCTTCAGTCAAGTTAACATTATTTTCGACAGTTAAAATCATGAATCAATTGAAGCAGTGGATAAACGTTTCATCCTATTGTGGGACTCCTGGGTTCGAATCTTGCAAGGCGAGGTCGTGGATGCGCACTCCTGAGGGGTCACACAATAGGACGAAATGGTCGTCCAGTGCTTCCAGGTTTTCTTAAAATTATTTGTTGCGTTTTATTATTCAAACAGGCTAATTTAATGTTATGATTATCTCAGAATTTATAGTTAATAATATAATTATTTCTTTTCTTCTCTCTTTTGGTTATTGATACTTTTTTAATCTATACACTAGACATACACCTATTCACCCACCTACTGATCATTGATATCCATTTCCACATTCAAAAAACGATTTTATTCTGTGTATCAGAAAAAGTTCATGTGATCAGTTTTTGATTACCAACTTTGTCAACTTTTTTTTAAGGTAGTGGAAAATTTCTTTCATAACTTATCTCTCCTTATTCTGTTTGATGACTGCCAGTTCAGTTATTATTCAATTGAATTTTTATCCCATTTCTAATTATCAAGTTACTTCTGTAATAACTCTACTCTCTATAACTTCATGTTTTCGTTATTTTAATTGCATTGCCACAATCTAACTTTTTAAGTGTTATCCATAGTTTACTATACTTTGACTGCTTTCACATTCGGGTCTCATGTCAGTTCTATTTTGTAACCACACATTTTTGCATAGACATACGGTTTTAGATTCAGACCTCAATAACAATTACAACATATACTGAAGTACATGATTGGGCAATAGGATAATAATAAATGAAATGAGGTGCGGCTACTTTAGCCCCGCTACAAACCAATCAATATTTCGTTTATTTAAATATAAGAATAAAGTCACAAACTGTATATTTTGGATTGTGGTCATATACCTTCAGTTTTTTTTTCAAATATAACCTTTATATGACAGTCGGTTTGTATCTTGTACGTAATTTTTAAGATTATTTTTTCTTTATCTTATTTCAGTCCTCTTCATCGCTCTTATTATCGTTTGCTCAAAATTTTCTTCATGGTGAAAATAATCTAGTTCGTCATTTAGCCTACCTAGGAGCACAAGTCACAGTAAATCAAACACCACTAGATGAATATCAATTTACTGTTGAAAACTTGGCCGTAGACTTAAGAGATGGTGTTCGTTTGGTGTGAGTTATACGATATAATTAATAGTTATTTGTATTCTTTGCTGTACTTATTGAGTTTCATTACATCCTGAATAAATACAATTTACATTTACGTATCTCCTTACTGAAATTTGATATGGTTATCTGTGTTAGAACTCATCGTTTATATTACAAATTTTGGCTCCTTAATGCATCCATCACCCCTAATGGTATTTTATTACTATTTAGAAAACTTGCTGAATTATTAATTCCTACATTGTCTACTGAGAAACCACCTACCGTCATCAAACCAAATAGTCTCATGTCTATGGTTAGATTCCCCGCTATAAGTCGCCTTCAAAAAATACACAATGTTGGGGTTGCCCTGAAATCGTTTGAACAATATGGTCAAATATCAATGGCAGACGGTATGTCTTTATAGTTTGTTAGTTTTACCTAACTTTTCACCGTATACTTTTATGTTCATTGAGGCTTCAGACCTGGTCGAGGCTGCATCGACCACATATTCACCAGTCGTCAGGTTCTAGAACACAGGCATACTTATCGACGTCCGACAATGATAGTTTTTCTTGACTTAAAATCAGCATCTGACTCTGTAGACCGCGAGATTCTGTGGCAGTGTCTGTCATTGAAAGGTGTACCTCAGAAGTACATAAACCTTGTGAAGGCTCTTTACTCGAACACCACCAGTAGAGTCAGAGCTTATGGTGAACTGTCATCTGCTTTTGCAACCTCAAGTGGTGTACGTCAAGGCTGTCCACTTTCTCCATTTTTGTTTAACTTCATCATAGACCTACTGCTGGAAATAACGTTCTCGTCGACTGAATTTTCGAGCATTGATCTCTTATCAGAAGTTATACTTATCGATTCAGAATACGCAGATGACATAGTCCTGTTTGGTGGAGACACTGATAAAATGCAGTCTTTTGTTAGCAACAATGTCAGGATGTTTGGAATGCGCTTCTGTCCCTCTAAATGCAAGTTGTTGCTTCAGGACTGGGCTGCGTCAACACCTGAACTATAGATAGGGATTGAAGTTGTTGAACGCATTGACAACTTCACTTATCTTAGAAGTCTGATCAACCCTAATAGGTTGGTGTCTGACGAAGCCTCTTCAAGGTTTGGGTCCGCATGACTATCGTAACCAATGGTTGGTGACTCTGGGTGACATGGCTCAGAATCGATCACAATTGCGTAGTTTTATACACTCTCTGTCTTCCTTTAAACTATGAGATTAAAATCGCTTCATGTCTTTCTTTTTACGAACTAATTCTCTCATTCTGTATTAGATCCTTACATGCAATCTTTCTTATATATATTACCACCACTGATGTAACTACTTCTATGAATTCGGTGTTCATCTTGTTGTGTCAATGAGGTATGGCAACTTGAACCGTTGCAATATATGTGCGTGGTCCTACATTGTAGCTGACTGACTGACTGTTCGTACATAAATAATGTCACTGATTTAACTATATTACTAAAATGTCCTTCACAGGTGCTGACAAACGTTCATCCTTCATCATGTATCTTTTTTCATAACAAAGTAATGTATTTATTTATCGAGTCTACTAACTTTATAAAGTTCTACCCAGTCAATAGCCTTTTCTTTGAGTTTTATAATATGTAATGGATTCGTAACTGTATAGTGCTATTATGATCCTAATATTTCCTTAGTTTAAGTTCGATAAGTTTTTTATGCAAGTTCTTATTGTATAAATAGTTCACAGTGTTTTCCTTGTTTATCGCGGTTTATAATTTAGGTATTTTAGATCCAACTACAAGCCGAGTTGTAATGCATGAATCATAATGCGATAGCGAAATATAAAGTTTATCAATAAATTTGAACGCTTTCGACCCTAAAATATAGTCATCAACCCGTCAATGGGCATATTTGGTGCCCTCACTTCAAGTTTCTTCGGGCCATCATATCAGATGCAGCTAGTCCCTGAATACACCTCCATCATTTTATCTCCAAAATCGTCAAGAATAATTGATCTGATAGATACTCGAAATCCGCCGTACATTGTACAGTAATCGTTTCGATTGCTAGGTAGCGTCCTCCAGTCTCCCTCTGTCTACTTCGGTTTGGGCAATTGAGTAATTTCGCTATCCTTCACATATAGTATGTGTCTCCAAGTGGAGTATGCGCTTCTATACCTGGTAAACAAGTTACATCTATTCATCCGTTAAGTTCCACTTAATCTTGAGCCTAACTTGGCATCCACTCATTTGAAACTATATTTCTTACGTTTAGTGTTCGACTATCACTGATATTATTCTCCAATTTTTCACTATCTTTGTACTGATTTGAAGTGTAATAACTTGGACTGATGCAAATTTATGAAAATTCTTGCTTTGTTTATAGATGAGTGACTCATAAGTATGTCACTTAATTATTGCTACACCAACTATGTTGCTTGAAAGTGTCACTGGTGTATTTATAATAGCTACTCATTGTATTATTCTATAGTACACCAGTTGTCTATATTTTTTACAGTTCTTTGCTTATATTTTGTTCTTACTAAAGGGAGCTTAATTGATCCTCGTGATATTGTCGATGGACATCGTGAAAAAACCCTTACATTACTTTGGTGCTTATTGTTACGTCATCAGGTTCTTGCCTTACTTGACCATTCCGCATTAGAAAATGAAATTCACACTCTTGAAACAAATATCAATTCATCTGATACAAATATGTGTGTGAACGAATTAAATCATCTAAAGTTAAATATATCTACTGACAATAATGTAAAAGACGATAAAAACCATATGGCTCACTTCAAATTACTGTACTGGGCTGCTTTAGTTTGTCATTTGTATAATGTTCCAGTAAGTTAAAGTGTGTGAACTTCCTTCCAAAATTCTTACGATTTCATAATATCTCTAAAGGTTTTCATGGTGTCTAGACAATCTGTAACCCTTTTTCTACTGTCCTTTAATTCCAATGATAATCGGGATTATTTGAATTTGATTACTAACAACTATTTTGTAAATAAGTCACTCTATTATAGTTCATAACCTCATTGATAACTATTTTGATTACTTCCTAGAGCCTACAAAAAAGTATCACCCTGTTAGTTTGTGACTTTGTTGTAACATGAAAAAGGGCTGCTGATTGGAGGTTAGCGAATCATCGATCGGACCAAAGACGCGTAAACACGCGAGAACGCTCCAGAGTCCTGATTGGCCCCGGTCCCCTGTCTAGCCCAGCCAGTTGAGTCCAGAACGCAAGTCTCAGCCTCTGAGATATGAATAATTATATTTCAGACATACTCTGTTTATATATCAATCAAACAGACCACATCGTACCATAAAATAGAAAACAATATTTGACAAGTGAAATAAACATTGACCAATAGGAAATGTCCATTTAAAGTCCAAGGACATCAGTAGACTTAACAGGATAATTATTGGGATATTTTTCTGACTTACGCAGTTAAAAGAACTGTATCTGACAGTATACGAAGCATGTTGTAGTTTGTCAACTTGGCTCGATCCATATTAGTCCTCGATTTTACGATTATTATAATTCATGGCATCTACTGAACAATCATAACATTATGCTCATTTATGATGACCACATTTTGTAATCCCATGAAGTTTTTTATTTGTTTAAAACACGTGACTCTTCGTTGTATTTTCATCTTTTTAGGTTACTAGTTTAGATGAATCGTTTACCGATGGTAGAGCATTATGTTATCTGTTGCACCATTATTTACCAACTGTTTTACCTCAAGGTTTAATTCGCCAGTGTACAACGTATACTAATAATAATCTATCGGTTCCACTGCCGAACCACTTACTCATACGTAACAATCTGTTCAATTTATCGTTGTTTCAAAAGAAAGTAGGTTTTCACCCTCTTTTTAATTAAGTTAAGGAAAAAAGTTATTTTATAAAGTTTATTGATTCTTGGTGTGATTTTTTTATATAGCGAGCCATCATGTTATTAATTGGTGTTTTGAAAGAGCATGTAAAGTGAACCTTGGAAATAATAAACAAGAAGCTTTAAGATTGTTCAAATCATATCTCTAATCCTGGGCTAATTGCCTACTGGTAAACCCTGTCTTGTAGTCTAGTACGCAAATCTTTATTTAGTATTTTCTTGATAGCTTTCTGTCATTGTTTTTAAATTGTTTGATAACGGAAATCTAGAGAGTTGAGACATAATTAGTGACCCCATGGATCAATGCTCTGTTTTGGTCCAATCATTTTAATTTTTCTAGCTTAGTTCTATTTCATCTCGTATCGTACGTGAATGAAGATCATGACTTTCATGTGTAGCACATGAGTCAATTATCTCATTTAAACTCATGTACTAAACAACCTACTTTCTGTATATAAAATCATGTGCTTAACCTCATCATTGCCCATATGTTAATTTGAGAAGAGATGGTGAGCAGTGTTGTGGAAAAATCAGTTATTGAATACTTGTTATGCACATATGCTCTACACTTTCAACATCTACTGTTGCAAGCTAGTCAGAAAAATTATGACACGTACATTATATTCTATCTTGATGTTTTCTATTTCTGAATTATTATTTATTTCTGTATTATCCAGCTCTCAATGCTAGGTGATGTTCCACTGCTTCTTTCTACACCAATTTCATCGGCTAATTTTAGTAATATTCTTCCACCTGGATTAGTTATCACTATTTTAGCGTATCTGGCTAACAGATTAGTTGTTGGTCCTTCAGATAAATATAAATTAAATCTGCTTATTCGTGATAATGCTGCATGTATTATTCAAAATGCCTGGCGCCGTTTTCAAGATTATATTAATTTCTCTAAGTTAAAATTAATACCTTATGGAAGGTGAGTTTAAAGCTTAAAAGTTTGTTAATTGTAATTGAGGTGCAGTTTTTATTGTATTGTTCTACTGATTATATTGATTTACTTAACATTGTCAATTTCTTGTATTTTGCACCCCATATAACTATCAATCATTCTACAGACATATTCCATATAATTTATTCATATCTTCTGGAATGATGAATCTCTCAAAACTCATTGAACTGATTACCTTGATATTTTTTGACAAATCAAAATGAAACTATATGTTTATTTGTTTGGCGTATTTTTGTTGTTCTCCTTATTATTTCCTTTTTTGACAACTGATGAAGCCGAGCCTATATACATATAATATTGTTTGTCTGAAAGTTATAGATATTCATTTGTTTATTTTCATTCCATTAGTAAATAAAATAAGATTGTAATTGTACAAAACTTAAAGTTGAATAATAAGGTAGCATTTAAGGAAATCAATTGATTGTTTTTTTCATCTTCCTCCATTTTGACCAGTTGACTTTAAATTAATGAACTGTAAGAAAGTTATATTTGGTGTGTGTAGTTAATATAACCGAAGGGATATAATATATTAATCGAAATGAATTTTCACTGATAATACACATATCAACAATAAATATGATTTATATTCACTCAGCATCAGATCTATATAGCTTACTTAGCTGCGGAATATCCGAATACAAAACCTGACTTGTACCTTTGAAGAATTAATGAAAAAAGCCACTCTTTATATACACTTAAACAACCCAAAATTACAATGAGAAAGAGATTACATGGTTTGTGTTGATTTGTCCAACAAGAGAACAGATCTGTAGGTTTTAATCGTTATAGATTAATCTCTACAAGATTCCTTGAACTAAACAGAATAGATTGTTCATTAATGTCCTGACTGCATAAGTCAAAATCTGAAGTTGACCAATATCTACCTGATTGAAGATGATTTATAGCTTAGACCATTCATGTCAGTAGTATATGCTTAATATTTAACAGTAAGCCGATAATACGTTTACACTGATACTTTGAAGATGTTACTTAATTTTCACCTGATGCCTTTCTAATTACTTTTAGGGAATGGCGTAATGAAAGAAAGAGAATCAAAGTGAGTCTATGAATTCAAAATATGTGGTGACAAATTAATGTATTTTCTTTACATGTTCATTGAATAATAGATTTTCTTGAAGATTATGTACATATAATACACTAATATGTGGTTGTTCTTTTCTGTAGCTGGACAATATACTGTGGAATTCATTTGTGAGATATAAGTTTTCATGTAATATATTTTCATAAACAATAGGATGTCGCTTTTTCAGAATCATTACACAGTTTAATCTGTATTCACTTAATTCCGTCGATCAATCTCAAGTATCTAACGCACTCGTATTAATAAATATGTGCTTTGGAATGAGGCAGTAAGCTTCACTTTACTACCATTAAAACAATTTTAAATTGTTGGATCACTGCTCTCAAAATAGTTTCATATAGTTTTGTTATGGCAGCTGGATTATATATTTTATCTTGTAACTAAATTCATAAACCTTTGGTTATTTCCTTATGGTTAATTTGTGTTGATGCCTTTTTTGATATTCTTTTTACTGTTAGTATTAGTGGTCGTAATTTATTGTCCTTACATATTTCCGAATTCGTTAATTAATCGTTCTCATGAGATCTAAGCTGATTGTTGAATCAATAAACTTCAAACTAATGAATTTCAAAGTCTAGCTCAATTCAATTTCTTCAGTCGGATAGGAAATGTTACCTGTACATATAATCTGTGGCTTGAAATCGACGAGTAGACATGAGTCTCTATTCAGTTCCTGAGTTATTAAAATTTTTAAAAATTACTCTTATGTATTTTTTTCCAAATTATTTCTTAATCTTGCTAGTGCCCTTTCGCTGTTAACAGGCTTTTTTAATTTGAATTAATGAACATGTACTTATTTTCTACGTTATTTTATTTGGTACTTCTCCATTCACACTATTTAGTTGTGGCGCGTTTCAAAAGTCAACTCATGTAATATTTAAGTCTATACATCTTGTTTAGCTGTTATTGATTAAGTCATTTTATATTTCGTGATGAGTTTGGATAACTCAAAAGTTAAAGGTTGATAAAATGTGTTATAGCAATCCCTTGAAACCTAATGGTTTTCCGGGTAACTCAAACACATCGTCAGAAGAATATGCTCGCGACTCTGTTACTAAATGGTTATTTTTTGAAATTTTTTGACGAATCATCCATCATCAATGTTGCACAGGCCCTAATTACTCTGATATTTCAAACGTTATGCCCATACTTTTCTAACATCTTTTCAGGCATCCACTACTATCCAGGCATTTGTACGTGGTTATCTTGTTCGTAAACAAGTTGTACAGATCAAATCCTTGAGAAACTCTGCTGCAATAATAATACAATCTTATGTTCGTCGATTTTTAATTCGATGTTATTTTGAACGCATTCACCAATCCGCTACCTTAATCCAGAGCGCTTGGCGTGGTTACCAAGCACGCCAAAACTATACCCTATTGAAAAAGGTAATTTCTAACTTTTATTCTTCGTTTATTTAGTTTATTTGCTGACATACTTTCAGACACGTCATAGTAGTGTAAACATAAACTATTGATTCGTAAATACTGAAACTGAGTGTGACTTAGTCAAAATGATCAAATAACTATTCATAGATAAATCTAGTAAATTGTTGACTGTTAAACTGTCCCAAGGAAACAATATCCAAATCTGTTTGTGATTTATTTAATCACAATGATATTGGTTGCATGTTTTCGTGGAACTTTGAACTAGTAAAGTAGCTATTTCTAAAGGCTTGTATTTTCCTTTTGTCGAGATCAAGGACTACAATCGATCAGTCTCTATTAGTAGACTCCCTCGATATTGCCATTTGATCATAAGTTCTTAGTAAAGTTAGAGAGTGGCTAGCAGTGAAATCCTGGACTCGAATTTCATCCCATTTGGAACTCATCACTGGGATATATAGTCGATGAACACAATCTCAGTGGATAACGTGTCGGCGTCTGGAGCGAGTGGTACTGGGTTCGATTCTCTGAGTAAACATCAACATAAACGCATGTTTATTTGGCTGATAAGTCTTAAGTAGGACGAAACGCATATCATGGATCCCACTAGTACCCATATAGAGAGATAGTGTATGTGTGCAACTGTAAAATATGAATGATGAGTGAATCAGCTTCATAATCGCTTAAGTAATCGTAAATTCACTGATCAGAAAAGACCAATGTACTATTTGTACTTTAAAGACTTTGTCCTTATTGTCTGTCTTTTACATCTCATACTTAAATGCGTATACGAAAGACCAGAGTTAAAGTTTCACATACAGCCACTGTTTCGTAGATACTGTGTGCACTTGCTAAACACTAGCCCAATCCTCTTCATGAATGAGATGTTATTGGCAAATCGAATGAGTTTACACAAACCAATGGTGTATATATACATTATCTGTCCCTCAGATACACCAACAAAGTACGTCACTGGCTTCATCTAATAGCCTATCTCGTTCGTCATCGTTCTATCTAATGTATGACCTTGAGGACGGCTTATGGGCGAAAGCATGTTATAATTCTGAATTCCCCCAACCTATTACATTTGTTTCTTCCTTTTTGTCACCCGAATGTTGAGTCCACTGACATATACTTTGGCTATTATAAAAAAAGCCGTTCACAATGGCATTTGTACTTCTATTTTGTTCACCGTAGTTTCTCCATTTATCTGTGAAATTCTTGATTATGTTATCAACAACTTATTGGCATCATGTGTTCTATAGACTTTATTACCCTCTATAATCATAAAAGTGATTTATACCTGTTTGTTCTCTTTTTTCCACTTGAATACTATAGTCCTGTATTATGCTTCAAGCATTTTCACGTGGATTCCTAGCCCGTAGATATGTTGCACAGTTACAAGAACATCGAAACAAATCAGCAACAATAATACAATCTCATTTCCGTAGATTAACTGTTCAACGTAGCATAAAAAATTGGCATAAGTCAGCTATTCAAATTCAAAGTGCCTGGCGATGTTATCACATTCATCAACAATATATCAACTTAAAACATGTGAGTTTTTTATTCGACCATTACTGTTTCATATAATAATTTGTTCACATTTCTACTTTGCTATATTGTGGTGCGGACAGATTTAAGTAGTATGTAGCAGGAATTGGAAGTGAAATGCTTAGCAGCAGAAGATTGAAATCAAGTGAAAAGGAAATAAAATAGAAAACGATTGGAAGAATGATGGAGTATGTAAACAACAACTCAATGAAGATATGCAGATGATGGGTTTAGTGCATCATTTTCATATTTTACGAAGACATTGTTTTGTTTTACATAAAACAATAATTTGGTTAACCGAACTTGAATTTTCATTCACTACAATATTAATAGACGAAGAAATAAATAGAATCTATTTTTTTTAGACAATTAGATTGTATAAATAAAATAGTATATTTGTAATATCCCGATGAGTAAAAAAATTAGAGTTTCTGACGTTTCGTGACTCATTGGGATATTACAAATATACTATTTTCAGTCAGTCAGTCACAACATAGAACTTCGTACGTACGTACGTACATCAGTTCGAGTTGCCACACCACATTAGCACAGAGATGCAGTTGTCCATTCAAATCCAGTAGTGCTAGATGTAGTAAAATTATAAACTGTAATCACAAAAATTAGGGTGTGAAGATTTTATTCAAGGAGTATAATCCAGTGAAATAAATTTGGAAAGAGAAAAAAGAAAGGGACATGAAGAATTCAGAAGATTAGAATTTGGGAAAACACAAAGAGTGGATGTACCTGCGCCATTGCAAACGATTTTGAGCCATGTCATTCAGGGTCTCTAACCATCGGTTGCTATCATTTCGCGGTCCCCAACCAGGTAGTCTACACCTACCAACATGACTCAGTCCACTTGTCAGTGACTTCATGGACTTGTGCCATGTTTTGGTCTGGCCGTCCCTAGCTTTCTTCCAATCTACTCCTACACCATGAAACAGTGCACGTCGAGGCATTCGGTGGTTGGGTATACGTAACACGTGTCCCAGACATTTCAACTTATGATGTTTCACTACCTCATCAATTGATTTGCCATCCTTACCTAGTAACCGTTCCCTAACTACTTTATTACTTACTCGGTGGTCCCAGGATATACGAGCAATATTTCGAAGACACCTATGATCAAGTACTAGTAACCTACGGATATCCTCTACTCTTACCGGCCATGTTTCATTGCCATAAAGTAGGACGGAACGAACTGCTGAGCAGTTGATAGTCGATAGACGGATATCTTGCCTACGCCATAAATGACGCAAGTTGGTAAGAGCTAGTCGAGCCTTCTGTATCCGTGCTGAGATTTCGTCACACACAAGACCACAATGGCTGATGAGACTTCCAAGATAAATGAAGCGATCGACACGCTCAATTACTTCACTCCCTATCATTAGTTCGGGTGTCAATGCAACACAATCCTGAGGCAACATTTTGCATTTCAAGGGGAAGAATCGCATCCCGAACATGCCTGCATTGTTGCTTAGAGTGGTCAGAAGACTCTGCATTTTGTCAGCGTCTTCACCAAATAAAACTATGTCATCAGCATATTCCAAGTCAACAAGTGAACCTCCCGGTAGAAGTTCAACCCCTGGAAATCTAGACGAGGGAAGTGTTATCTCTAAAAGTACGTCGAAGTATTATTGAATCTAATATTTTAGACACTATATTAGTCAAACTGATTCCTCTGTGATTGTCACAAGAGGACTTTTGTCCTTTCTTATAGACTGGCACAATCAGTGATTGAGACCAGTCAGATGGGATTACGTCCAGTTCCCAAATTCTACCTAAGACCTCAGTTAATCTCACTGCTAATACTGGACCACCATCCTTAAAAATCTCAGGAGTAAACCTGTCAGGGCCTGCTGCTCTCCCTCGCTTCAGATTTCCTATGGCTTTTTCAACTTCGTAAAGAGACGGAGGACCTACATTAACTTGCCATTCAGGTTGACTGGAGATCGTGGGAAACCGAAGTGTGGCTGAAGGCCAGTTGAACTGATCCCTAAAGTGTTCTGCCCATCGATCCAATCTCCTGGATTGAGAATGTATAATATGTCCATCTTTCTCTGAGATTGTTTCGCTAACAGTCGGTTTCCTTAACAAGTCTGAACAATTGTCTGCTATTACCTATTGCCGCTGCCTTTTCCATCTCTCTTGCTTTCGCTACCCACCACTGTTCACGATCATTGCGTAGACTTCTTGTCAGCTTGCGCTTAAGCTGACTCCGCTCTTCATTATGTTCAGAGCCAGGTGGAATGAGTTTCCGAGCATCTATCAGTGCGATAGATGCTGCTGAGATCCAGTGTTGCTCCCTAACCTTCTGGTTTACCTTACTAGCAGATATCACTGCTGTTTCCACAGCTTTTCGGATATCATTCCATGCATGGCTGCCTAACTGTTTTCCTAGTTGTTCCTGAAATATACTCTTAGCTTGACTATCATTAAGTAGGCCCTAAGAGGTTTCCTTGCAGCGTCTTTCCTACGTCCAGTAAGACGCAAGCAAATACGCGCTCGCACTAGAGCATGATCTGAATCTAAGCATGTGCTCCAGAATGAGCGACAGTCTTCTATCGAGCCCCTCCATCGGTGGCTGATAGCGATGTGATCTATTTGGGTCCAACGTTGGGACGAATTAGGGGGTCGCCATGTTAAAAGATGTTTTTCCTTATGCTTAAAGTTAGTATTTGCAAGGAACAGGCGGTTATCTGAGCATAGCTGCAACAGACGGTCGCCATTATCTGTTCTTTGAGCCACGATCTAAAAGATCCACCTAGGTGTCTTTCCCTATCGCTTAGTTTACCTACTTGAGCATTAAAGTCACCGGCCACTATTACTACATCCGAGCGCCTAGCTTTTCGGAGAAGGTCGGAGAGCTTTCTGTAAAACTCATCTTTTACATCATCTGCGCTGCAGTCAGTGGGAGAATAGGCAGAGACGACGAGTGTCCCTATCTTTACGAATCCCAAGTGCAATTTCTTTCTGGTGTATAATATCAGCACTACTTGGTACTTCTATCTCTGTATTAAGGACGTATTACACTCTTACATCATAAATTACTGAGCCTCACTAGTATTCATACATTATTCTCACTTTATTCGTGTAATTTCTTTATTACAGCAATTCTGTGGATATCCTTAACTCGTAAACCGTTCCATCCACACTAATATTCTGCACACCAGATTAAGATCATAAGAGTATTCAAAGTGATTTAGATCGACGTAGATCTGTTATTAAAGTAATTTACACTTTAGTGATACGAAGTAGATGTAATACTTGTGGCTATTATTCGCTAACTGACTAAGTGTCGTATAATTGAGATTTTTGGCTCAGGTGGATGATTTTGATGGAAATAGATTGGGTGCTATGCCTATGTATCTCATGATAGTTTCGGATTAAACTTGATAGTGGAAAGTTCAGGGGAGTAACCACCTATAAAGCTACTTTTTTAAGTTCCATTGTTGAAGCAGTGCCACTATACTCACATTAATTTGTGATCTTATAATACATACACCATAAAGAACATGTTCAATAAACATACCTGTTCATAAAATAAAATTTGATTGGTAATAAATACTATCACTACTTTCCTGAATTTCCTAGGCATGTCTAACAATTCAACGATATGTACGTGGGTATTATGCTCGTAAATTTGTTGTGGAAACACGTTCTAAAAGGACTTTGGCGGCCACCGTGATACAATCGTATTTCCGAAGTTATTTGGTCAGACTTGAGATTTTCCGTTGGCATATGGCAGCAGTTCAAATTCAGAGTAAATGGCGTAGTTATTTCCATAGACAACGATTCCTGTCTTTGAAATCGGTAACTTTCCGTTCGTGTAAACCTGTAGTTGATTAAATCGTGATGTATAGTTTTACTAAAACTCTTGAAATATTAAACAACTTTTTGGTTCGTAGTGTACTTAGTAATTACATATAGGCTTTTACCTATACGAAAGTTCTTTTCTCATTTAAGTATAATTGCTGTCTTTTGTTTACTATTTCACCTTTCTTGGATAAAACTTGAACTTGATCATATATTATCTTTGCTTTATCCTAAAGTGATTTGTTCTGATATCTAAAAGTTCGAAGTCTACCTAGTTTTCGTAAAATTAAATCGAGGATTTATTGCGATGAGTTTCGATTAAAGCTATCAGCGCTTCTGGATTTCCACTGAACTAAACTGCTATTAGAGAAAAGAGTATTCAAGCCTTCTGATAGAATAAATAAAAACTCTTGTTTAAATATGTTAGCCTATTTGATATTTATTAATAAATATCAATTCGAAGTTAACTGTTTTTCCAATGAACCAGGCATTAAGAAAGCTCTCAATGGAATGTTCTCAGTGTATGATCTTTTCCCTAAACAAGCAGTTAAAATAAGTTTGTGTGCATAAAAAAGTTACTGATTTCTTATGATTGTTCAGTTACCCTGAATTTAACCCAATAAAGAATAGGAGAATGATATTAACCTGAGAAATTCTCTGTTGTTTTGTAGGTACAATCTTTTACAAATTTTTGAAACAAAGATATAGTTGATTATTTCCTGGTTCAATTTTCTCCTACTATCTATTAATCACAAGATTTCGTGGTAGTAACTAACCGAGTATTTAGGTTGTGTTTAACTACCACATAATTGTTTTGAGCTCAGTCTTTCTGAATTCACCAGGTCGTTTAGTGAGCTCTCTTTGGTTTTACGATTTTTCACTACTATTTGTTTATTAGCACAACAAAGTATAATTCACATGTTTTGTACTGGTTTTGATCAAATCATCTGGCGTTTTAATATGATTCAACAACTAAACCCAGCTTCATAGATTGACATTTGTTGTATTAAATTTTGATTACCTTAAATCCAATTAAATAAAGTACAATTTGAGATTATTTATGGTCGAATAATTGAACTATTAAGCCATAGGTCAATTGTTTGAAAAATTGGAAACTTTAAGGTGAGATTCCAAGTGTTCTCTGGCAGTCGTTATTTGTGTACCAAATTTATTTTCCTGGATTATAATTTTTGAATAACATCTTCAAACCCTAATCTTTCCGATTACTGCTTATACTTTTACTATCTCTATCACTGCGGGATTTGAATTGACAATTGTATCTCTGTGCTAATGTGGTACGTACGCACGAAGTTCTACGTTGTTGATAACTGACAGCGCTAATAAATACATCTAAGTGTTTGAAAAATAGATTTGTTAAAAAAATCGTCAAGTTCGTGAATAAAACACAAGATGTGTAAAACTGTCATAATTAAGTAAATTCTACTGCTAAATCGACTTTTACTGTTGAACAAATGTTAACAGATTTCCACTTTGGGACTAAGTCGAATCTTTAATCGTCCGTTTCAATGATGGGACAGTATGGTTTTTACATAATGTTTAACGGCACAGCATATTTCATCACTAAACCACCCCGTGATTGTTTAATATTCCACCACAATTTGCTAAACTTTCATTATTTACTCAATGTTTTCTTCACTTTTGCTTGTGTGCTAATTTAGAAATTGTATTTATATATTTTGTTATAGTGGTGTATCACTATCCAAAAATATGCACGAGGATATTTGGCTCGAGAACGTCTTGCAACAGTCCAATATAATAGGAATTCAGCAGCCACAGTTATACAGTCTCATTTTCGTAAATTTCTAGTATTGCGTAGAATCAATGTTTGGCATAGTTCAGCTCTACGAATACAATTATTTTGGCGCTTTCATCGCTCTCGAAGAATTATTACACAGTTTAAAGATGTAATTAAACTGTTCTCATTATCCTCTTTTTTATCGCTTAAATAAATTCACCAATTATTTCTTTGATATAATGCTTCTTTCCACGCTCATCTCCCTGACCAGTGTTCTCATCTGGATTCACTCTTAGTCCTAGAGTAGTCGTCTTCCCTATTTTTTTCATCAGTGTTAAACACCCAGCATTCTTCCCCATTACCTCCGGGCTTCAAATTTAACCCTAAAATACATAACATTACTTTTGGTCGGTCAATAATGCTATTGTAACTGTTCTTTGGTCCAAAATTAATATTCTTTTTTTGGTAACTAACGCTATTTTCGACTAACAAGTGGCTGAAAGATTCTTCTAATATGAACTGGATCTATACGAAATAGTTAAACCAGGCGACTAATACACATTTCAACGATAACCCCCTGTACAATTGATGAGAGAAGTCATGAATTCATGAAATAGATAATATACAAAGAAGTCAGAATTTTAATAGGACAACTGTGTTTATGTAGCAACAAATATTATTTTTAAGATAACAAAAATAACAGACTAAGGAAAGGAACATCCAATCAGATAAAATGAATTTCCAATGGGGTTATATGAATTAGAAAAAAGTTGCCGATAACTTCCTTGCATATCAGAACTATCACTTAATAGAACGACCTAGCTACTTTTAGGTCATCCCAGCAATTAATTTTTTTTGGGTGTGGGTATAGAAAGGGGAATTAGCTCTGTCTTTGTCCTTTTCATTTGCTTTTATTCATGTTATTTTGTTCTTACGTAAATTGTTAGTATCGCCGCTATCCACTCTGCATTGATCTGATAACATAATCAAAGTGGTTTGAAAATTCTCTACACTCTTCTACTGCTCGTTTCTCATCATTGATAAAGTTAACAAATCGATTCGCTACTCAATTTTTATTGATTAATAACGTTTGTTGTTCTCCTTTTACTAGATCGTCTTACTTGTTATTGAACGTCACAACTCATCTCGCATGATTCAACGTTGGTGGCGTGCATGTTTTCTTCTTAAGTTTATATCTAGGCAACGTTGTTCTGCTATACGAATACAAGCCGCATGGAAAGGTTTTCGAATTCGTAAACATTTGCTTGCTTTAGCTCAATCTTCTAAAAAGGGCGCAAACATTACGAAAATATCAAGTCGATTGGACAGTCGGGAAACGCATCTTGTTACATCTAAGTCAAAGTCTGTTCCAAGTTTGCGAAATTCCAAGCCAAAGCTTCATAAAGAAAAGTGTTTGCTTTCACTTACACCTTTGGAAGCCAAGTCTCTTATAGATATTTGTTTTCGTTTGAATAAGGCAACACAGCGTGCCCAAACTAATCCACATTTAACCTTAGCTTCGAAAGCCCGAAATGCATTGAAACAACTTTCTCATTCTACATCTGTAAACCAAATACTTGATGCAATCAGACTTTTAGGTAAGTTGTAAGAGATTAGAACTTTATGATTTGTTTATTCTAAATAGTTTTCAGATTTAATAAATTATACTAAGTGATAGGTCATCACAATAGTTGTGTATATTCTACAGGGTTATTAACAGTCATCCATCGACCTCTGATATATATATTAGGAACTATGATTATTTTTTTTTAATTAATTTTAATTAACTTTATTTTTCAAACTTCGTGTCCATATACTTTTTAATTTAGTTATCTGTTGAGTGGGAATAATCTAAATATTTTATTTCAGTGTACTACAGATCCGTTGTTGTAATACAGTTAATATTTATGGTTTGATATATTGTTCTGATATGGCTTTTATCAAACCCAGTTGATGAAACTGCTTTTGCTTTTTGTTATATAGTTTTTAATTATTGTCTTTTCCTAAATTTCAGTTTATCATTTGCTGTTGTCATTTTCAGCAACGATGAACTCAAGAAGTTCTATTGGATTAAAACTTTCTCCCTCTTGATTGAACCAAATTCTTGAAAGAGAAAAAAGTTTATTAGATTATAAATATTCGTAGTTTGACTGATCTTAATAATAACTAAATATAGTCTACATTATTTAGTTCGGTCTATGGTAATTTATTTGCTACCAGTTGTGACACCGTAGTTTTACCTGTTCATTCTCCAAATTATTGATTCCATGAACATTGTTGTTGTATTTGTAAGTCTGTCTGTTAAATTGAGAGATGGATGGATGAATTTAATCCTATCGAATATTTGTCAACTATTTAATACGTTTAGGCACTAAGCTATTATTTCCCAACTTCAACTTCAATATCGTAAACAAGACTACTTCCATGTCCATTAATTGGAGTAATAAGTTCAGTTTGTATAAAACCTTTATTGATCATGACCCCTGAAAAATTAATTTATATTCATGTTTATTCATTGATTATTAATCACAAAAATTTATCAAACTGAGTAATCATCACTGAAAAAAAAAACCCATTAAATTGATTAATACAATAAAGATGCATTGAAAAGAAAAAAACACTGAGAGTCAATGAATAAGATTCAGTACGTGAATTGATTTCTTCCTAAATGTAACATTTACCGATTTAGAACCTCTAATGCCTTGTTTTTAAAACGAAACAATCCACACCTTTACATGATTTTTGGTTTAAGTCCTTCCTTAATTGAAGTAGTGAATCGAGTGAATCTGAAGGTTTATTGATCCTTGGTTGATATCTAGATCGTAGGTATCCCTTCTTAATGTAAATGAAGCAATTAGCAATTAAATTTAAGCCATCTTTAGTTGACTGCAACTTAACAACAGTTGATAGGCAAACTAACATGACTAGCAACATCGGTTGTAGTGTATTTCCCGGGTACTGGAATAATATATGCTGATTTACTTAAAGATTTCACCACCAGTTTGTTCCTTAAATTTTATCTTTGTATGGACTTTCTAAACGTTTTGTAGCTATGACATTATTAAGTATTAAATGTAGTGTTTCCTCGGTTACATTGAGCCCTTATAAATAAAGAGAAACATAATGTTATTTAAGGCCATGATTTCTACCGTATCCAGCGTTACATTTTGGACTATTTAATAGTTTCGTCGAATGCATGAATGTAGCAGTCACATTAAAATATCTAGTTTAGATATATTCGAACTGTAAAGCGGAAAGTGTTTTTATTTCAGAAAAAGCTGTAAAATTTTCTTTTGAACTCAAATTTTGTCATTATCTATTGGGTTAAAGTTCGTTGTATGTTATGAGTGATATGAGTTCTTCTTTAGTAATCTCAGGTTTGTTCGTTTGTAAATTCAAATACAATATTCATAATTAGTCGTAACACTTGAGAACAACCTCAGTATGTTCAAATCATCACTACCTTATATTTCTAACTTATATTTTTTCACTTTAGAAATGACTACCGGTTTCTCGGCAGAACTTTGTTATTGGATAGTTGGTTTGTCACCTCCTAAGAAACCAATGTACAATAATGCATGTTTCAATGAACAGGATGAGAACTCACCATGTGCACTTATTCGTTTTTTTCAAATTATGATGGCTTGTAATCGTTCTGTTCCTCATGAAGATATTTTTATAGCTATTACAGGGATATTTTTAAATATTGGACGACATAAAGATCTAGCCAGTAATATAGATTTATGGTGGAATCCTTTGACTTTTAAGTCAAAGAGACCGTTTGCCACTAACGAGAATGAAAATAATGAAAATGAAGAATTTCAACCACCAGCTATTGTACGTTTAATAAATACCCAGTTAAGGCGTTATCAAAGTCTTCCAGGTTTATGTACAACTGTATCTGATTTACAGCTTACCATCTCTACACAGTCACATCTCAAAAATTTTAACCGCGTTAATTCAGTGGAATCAAAATTACCGCACAATTCAGTGTCTATTACTCAGAATATGAGTTTAGTTGAAGTTTTAATGGAAATACTTCAGAGGACATGGCGTGCTCGCCCTGGAACAGTGGTTAGTTTATTTTTCTGCCTGGTTACGTATATTTAGGTTAATCTTTCAGCAAATATTATCAACTTTTGTTCCCTAGTAAAAATGAGCACATTCAAACAGTGGCTTTTCAAAAAATTTTCGGCAGTTCAATATACTTTTAAGCAATTAAGGAAATATCAACAGAATATTTTTTTATTTAATTAATCATTTGTAACAATCTTGTTCCATTGTTTTCTAAAGGGATCTGTGCGAGAATACATTACAACTTACGGTTTTGCTTCAGTGAAAGCATACTCTCTTACGTACGAACCGTCAAAAGTACATTTTCCACCATACTCTTACTAAGTGTTTCTTGAGCAAATAAAATAAGGTTAATGTTTCGTCACAGGGTGGCATTTACTGTACTATATAAACTAGTTAATCCTCCTACGGAACTGAACTCCATATTTAAGCATACCAGATTTCATAAGAGAAACCACTGATCGATTGACTATATACATGTTAGTCATTTATGTACAAAATACTCACCCAATATGATAATGTGATTAGGGGTTACTTTTCAGATGCCGATCATCTCTGTTCAGTGGTTTAATATCAATAACGTTAAAAATTGTAAGTATAGGGTTGATAAGTTTGCTGAGTTTCATTGAAATCATGAACCGATCAATGTTAGACTAACATTGAAAAGCTGGAAACAAGATCAAAGCTCTTGGGTTCGATTCCCTCACGTACATTTCTAAGGAGTCAGTAACCAAGACGAAACGGCTGTCCAATGCTTCCAGGTTTTCAATGGTGATCTAACATTGATCTGCTTGTGATTCCAATGAAACGTTAATAATGGTTAGATTCGTTTATGTTACAGAATGCTTCCAGTTTTTTTTCCAATAAATACACTTCATTAGAATCTAATTGCTAGATAAGTCTACCAGATAAATTACTTTCCTCAGTAAACACTCATTTTTTATGTATAGCAGTTCTTACTGCTTGAAACTTACAGCTACAGTATTATTATTATCACCTCACTAGATCGTAAAAAAATTCATATTTACCCTTACAAAAGTAAACTACCATACTTTTTTGTCTTTACTTTTTTTAATCTACTTCAGAGTGTACGTCTATTCAGTCGTACTTGTTGCGTTTTGGCTCTTCTATTCAATTCAGCTCCTCCTCATTTATTTTCCCAAAACTCTTTTTTATTGCCTACATTACAAGAAATTTATGAAGGACTTTATCGCCGATCTGACCCACATTCTCGATTTCACCTTAATTTCGATCCAATCGGTGATTCTACTAATTTTCTAAATGTTAATGAAGTCCATTTAAAGGCATCAAACGCTGAAATGAAAAAACTTCGTGCTTATCTTAGGTTAGTAATTTTGTACTTGGATCATTTTTGTTATATATTCCGATAAATAGTTGATATATTTATATATATGTATCGTACTTTCTGCTAGTTTCTCATCGAAATCATTTTACTGTTTTTCTTACACTTTATATATGAAAGACATTGATGCTAAAAACATGATTAAAATACACGAATGGGCAACCAGTTGTATTCGATTCTTAAAGTTATAGAGATTATAACAAGATCATTACAGTGAAAACTGTCATCAGATCTTTTAATCTATCGAAATTATCTTCATAAAAAACTGATACTTTAGTTAGCGAAGAAAATTTTCGATTCTTTCTCATATTTCCACCATTAATACAAGTTGAACATTTCGATTAACAGAATAGTCAACCTTTAAACAGTATATCTACCTAATTATAATTGTTACTTCCAGTTCACTTTTGGTTGTACTAAACTATCAAGATTTACCTTGTTTATGTGCCGTACTAGATTTAACCATATCTTGTACAATAGTTGGTTTATCACATGGTATTTCCTCTGGCTTATAGTATGATCTAATTATGAGAAATATACTTGTATAAAAAACTAAAAACGGTCTGTTGGGAGGGCGGCCTGCTTGAGCATCTGGGCTGCCTGTTCCTGCCATCTAGATATTTCAACAAGTTATCTATTTTTGTTTGTTTTAATATATCATTATGTTTATTTATCGCATAACATATTCTGCTGCGTTTCTGAAAAGTGTACAATCTTTTGTTGTCAAAGTTACAAAAAAACTCAATAAGAGAATATGTGGTTGCTGGCAATATACAACGAAAAGAATGCACATTATTCAGATGTTCATTTACTGAACTGCTAACACCTAACTGGCGATCACTCGATATTTATCGCCAGGACTGACCAAGAAGAAAGAAACGGAAACTTGTTGAAATACTTTACACTGGGAACTCTATATTGTACCAAAAATATGATATTGAATAAAGCTAATAATAATAATAATAATAATAATAATAATAATAATAATAATAATAAAGATATGAGAACCGTGAGAAACCGACCGCTGATTAATTAAATGATCGCAAAATATAATCTACCATATACTTGGTTTCTTTAGTAGTTTTGTATGTAAAATGTTGATTGATGATATTTTCTTAACTTTTCAATAGCTCAACACCTGTACTGAATTGAATAATTGAATGACGTCTTAGTGACTCAGTGATTATTGTGATAAGATTCAAAGTTTTCTGTATTTTACCATTAAAAGAATGAAAAGATGATTTGAAAGTGATACTTCAGAACTGTTAAACTAAACTAATTAGTAATTCAAAAATTTTATCAGAATTGGGTTTTGTGGAGATTGTAGTAATTTAATAGTTGAGTTCATGAGTCGATTAAAGTTAGACCACCATTGAAAACCTGGAAGCACTGAAAGATCGTTTCATTATGGTATAGCACTTCTCAGCAGTGTATCCACGATCCCGTACGTAGGACTTTAACCCAGGACCACGGTGTTAGTGTCTAACTTCAACCAATTCACGATATTGCACCAACGTCCACCATTGTCTTCAGTGAGTAACTTCCTTACAACAGACACGGTTTTCCATGGTGATCTAGCTTTAATCTCGTAAATTCAACTATTAAAATTCAAAGATTATTGTTAGTAAATATACAGAGATATAGGAATAAAACATAGAGTCTGATTGTTAATCTGTACTACACAACAAATTTCTTTCATTACCCTAATCAAATATGGAAAGTTATGCTAACACACATCTATCTCAGTCTCTATATTGATGATATTCGTCTGTTTAACGCAATCAATTATGAACTATTAAAATGTAAAAGTTATTGAGTGTGTAAATATTTTCGTTCGCTTATCTTCATGCCACCTAGATTATGACCTACCGATTTCTATAAACTTTTTTTTGATAAGGAAGAAGAAAGAATGCTTTACCGACAAGTTAATCTGATTTAAAATAGCGGCTACTGGATTTTTGAGTAAAATCCAAAACTCGATGACGGATATATTGTCTATTATTAAGAGCTAAGTAAACAGTTAATAGAAGCAACCAGTATTTACTTACTAAGGTGTTTAAAATTAAAAGACTGATAATTAGAGATACAAAAATGTACAATTCTTAAAATGAAAAATCAGTAAATGATTAACTTTTCATGGTAAAATAATACCAAATAAATATAAACTGTATATAACATTATCAGTTTTGAAAGTCCTTAATATATGAAATCCTAATACTAACTGTGCATATATTCTCGTTAATATAACTTCAAAGTGTTATTTCACTCTATTTCTATTACTACTAACTTCTAACTCGAAACATTTTTGAATTTTTATGTAAGAAATTATTCATTCTAATTGGCTCAAAATAGGCTTTACTTTTCCAAAGTTCTTTATGACTACAGTGATCTTGAGTGCTGTTAGAGGTAGGAGGGCGGTTATCACTTCCCGGTTGCCCACACCGTGGAACGGTTCTTCCGGAGATGCCTGAAAAGGAAATTGGATTAGAGGTGGTCTTAGTGACCTGAGAGCGTGACCCCAGTGCCCAAGGGACAACTGCTTGAGGTCGGTCACACACGACCTCTTTGTGAGTATATTTCGTGTTAGCTCCGTACTTGTTGAGACCTTACCTCCGGAGACGGGTATCCGTGGGATAAGGCGAGGTGTGCATTTTTAGGGTCGACGTTTACTAACCCCACCCCTCCTTGTGGGAAGGCAGCATCGCTGTTATGCTGGTTGTCTGAAGGAAACACCTTACTGCTGTCACACCTCTGTACAGTCAGCAGTACGACTTCGCCGTCGGACCTTGAGTTTGTTGCTTTTAGTCTTACCGCTCTTCAACCGACCTGTCTGACATGGTAGGACCTTGAGGAACGATTGTTCCAGCCAGTATAGCTCGGTTGCCTCATCACGATAAGCAAACCCGACCACCACGTCAAGGTAGTAACAACGGTCGGACCACAGTTCTTTAAGCGTTGTTAATCATCATCATGATTTCTTTGAATCATATATTGTACTATTTCCCTTATTTTTGTATTCTGTTTACGGTGTGACAGCTAGAAATAGCCATTTATACTTGTCTTATTTGCAACTAAAGTGTAACTTTCATTCATTTTGTTGTTTTTAATTTTCTTTATTCATTTACAGTTGTGAATTGGATTGGCATTTTCGTCCAATCAGATCTCGTCTTAATCCATTATTAGCTATTCAATACTTATTAATAATTACAATGAGAAAAAATTACTGATGCATAATTGTTACTGCTTTCTTTGTATTCTACGAATAATTCTAAAAATTATTTATTTGTAAATAATATAGTACTTTTCTTATAGTCTTCTCTATCTGTATTGTGTCAGTTGGATGTGTTCTATGTGAATATTGTTCGTTATTACGTAAGCTTAAATTGTGTTTTATACATTTTACCTTTTTTTCTCATTATCTACTTGGATTCATCGAAATACTTCTGCGCAATGCATATTCAAATTGCCAGTTTACGATTTTTAAGTATCCTCTTCTTTTTTTTTAGCTTCCCGTTTGGTTTTACTGTATGCATTTGTTTATTTCTTAAATAAACATTTAGAAAACCATACTATGGATGAATTTTTTAACCATTTTTTTAAAAGTTGTATGATTTAAACAAGGTATTCTCTACAAATTTTCGTTTGTAAGTATTATATATTTAATTAATAAGTTTATTTATTCATATTTCAAGTATCTAGTTGTGTTATTTGTTACTAGAACACATTTAAACTGTCAAAGCTCTCAATGTAAACAAGTATAGCTCTAATTAGTAGTACCTAACCCAATAGAAAATAGAGAAGTAAGATCAATTAAAAATAGGTAATAATTCATGAAGAGACTTTATGATACATCTGATCTCTGGATACAAAGTAAGTATCACTGGTATATGTACTCATTGAGACAAGTTGTGTTGAACTATTGGAAATAATCTAGAACTATATACATCTATGTAATGTGTAGGTACTGTTAGTGATATAATAAATGACATCAATATATCTCAAGTAAAAATCAATTATTTATACTACTCTGAGTCATCTCTGATGCCGTTACGTCTGTCTAGCATCCGAAGTTCGAATGTATAATGCGTTGGTGCCAAAGGTTTTACATATATATCATCAACTCAGTGTTAATAGCACGACAGTTCCGAAGCATGTTGTCGGACATGCCAAAGACGATAATTCTCATCATAACTTTCAATTTCATTATTAAATATACTATTAGTTAGAACCATGGAGATTATTCTGCATAAGGATTTCCAGAACGTTTGTGTGAATGTCAATCAATTAATTGTTTTCTACTCAGCAAATAAACACAAATTATAACATGTAATTAATACTTATAGATTTCTGCTGATATGCTTTTCTTGATGTTTCATAAATAAAAACTACCATTATATTAGCACTAACCTAATAACTTACTGAAACCTCATATTTATTGGTTGTTTGGATCTTCCCGTTGATTTTGAAGACTGCTATTGATCAGTCTCTTTTGGCATATATGCATCCTATGCGGATTGCCTCAATAATTATCATTAACTTATCAAGATAAGCAGCGATAGGTGGTGAGATTCAACTTTTTATATCAGATATACCATATGTGCAACCAAAACTAATCAGTATGGTTCTTGGTCAAGTATTGGATTGAATTTTATTCGTATAAATATTGCTTTGCCCAAACGATTCAGGATTTAAAACATTAGGTAACTACTGGATTTACCTTACAATTGATAAAAGTGATCTGACAAGTGGAAAACAGCCCGAAGAAAATTTCCTCTAAACTAAAAAAAGCACTCAGTAAAAATTTCGAGGTTAGATCATTGCAGGCGTCTTCACCTTTCAACTGAGTCCTTCAGTAATTATGTGACTGACAATATTCAGCCGAATTTGAATGAGTCCTTCAGATATATAATTTTGAGAACCAACTAAAATGTCCCTTACTCTTTACCCAACAATGTCAACGGATATTGATTTTCTTTATCTTAAGTGAAGTGAAACTAAATTTCCAGAAACCCTTAATGTCCTGTTTTATTTGGATCGGTATAATTCTAAAGGTATTGTGAAGTAACAAATTACGGATATCAGTTTTCCCATTTTTTGCCAATGTCGAGTCACAGCAATAAAGAAGAGCTAATAACTTATTCTTTCGAAAATCGTGTCAGACTACTTAGAACTGATATAAATAGTATTAGAAAAACAGTCCGGAAAACTATTATTTGTATTATAAAATAATCAGTCTGACTGTTGATATATTTTAGCTCATAATGCCACAGGTTTCATATGGAATTTATTTACGAGTTCAGTATACTGTTTGAGAAATGACAATTACAGTAGTTTTACTTCTTGTTTTGTTGTTCTGTCCGACTTATGAAACATGAATGCATCAAATTGTTACAGTATGAAGATAATTCCCGTCAATAAAAATTACGATTGATTGGTCGCTGAGTAGCGACCGATCTCATACTTCTCTGGTATTTGGTGCTAATAAAATTCCATCAGTCAAGTTTCAATAATGTCACTAATCTAATGTTGAGATGTTAGATTATTATAAGTAGTTGTTAGGACACCCTGCTTAACCTCGTGATAGCTGACACTTGTCAGTAAGATGTGCCTGAAATGAGGGAACTGATGTTCCCTGATCGGCTCAAACCCGATGCTTCACTGAGCTATTCGGATTACGATTTAGTAGTTACGTGATTTACTAGTCTTACATTATATTTCCATCGTAATCTAATTACTATCGACTTATTTGACAACATCCGTGTATCGATCAAATAAAATATTTGATACAAAATTAGTTGAATGATTTCCGAAACTTGTCCGATACGATGTTGTACGATTGTAATCCGATAGGAAAGGTGAAGGACGACAGTATATGAGTCCCACTTCATAATGGACCACCATAGTTAAACCGTATTTCATTACTTTATTGAGACGCTAGAATCTACATCAAACTGGTAATTAACACTTTTATTAATCTTTCAGGCTAAACAGTCCTAACCAACTATAGATCAACATCGAAATCTCTGTTTGGAACACCGAATAGTACACCTCTGACTCTCATGGGTTGATAATAACATTACAGATAAAATTCTAAACAAGTGTCAGAAATCAGGAAACCTGGCTTATTAAGGCCTCTTATTTCTATACAGTCATCCCAATACAATTAAAATATTTGAGAAGTATTCACTTTCTACATAAGTTTCGCTTTAATAATTTACTCTCCAAATATCTGCTTTTGTATTCACTCTGAAGTTTAAATATAATTATCATCGAAAGCTCGTATCAACACAAGAACTAAGAAACACTGCATTGATATTGCCTTGTCGTAAACAGTTAGTGACACCGTCCATGATCATGAATATATCATTGAGTAAAGAATACTTAATTTTAGCAAGTTCGATTATCCCTAACAGATTAAATCAACTCACCATGTATTATGGACTACCTCTAATATCATTGTGTAGTCTGTTCCTTCGCTATAAAAATCATGATTTATGTTATTCACAGTTATGTCGAGTATTTTCTACCAATTGTTCCTGGGTACAAATTGATAAACATCACAGACTGATCTTAAACTACCATTGAAAATCAGCGTACATTGAACAAGTATCTCCTCCTAGTGTGTAACTCCTTTCCAGTACACATCTACAATACCACTTGAACGAACTCGGGGCCTTTAGGTCTCCATGAGGTCAAGTGGAACGCCATGACTAGTGGAATCCAGTCACATTGAAAAGTAGTCGCGTGATTTTACAAATTGATTGAAGTTTGACGTGTACATCACTGGCATAAAGATGAGACACTCATTGCAAGGCCTGAAGGTCCTGGGTTCTATCCTCTGTTAAGTTGTAGATGCACACTGCTGAGGAGTTATATACAGCTGTCCAATATCTCCTGGTTTTCAATCGCTGTCTAACTAAGCTCAGTCCTTGAGCTTGAAATCAAACAATTTCTTTTAACTTCCTGTAGTAATATCAATTTCTTTATTATTTTATTGCTCCAACTCTAAATTTGAAAAAGAAATCCAGTATATAAATAAATATATATTTATATAGTGGCGAGAATGATAGCGTAATTTCACACTTGGTTATATGCATTTACACATTAGTAATAAAAATCAGCCACCGAAAATAATTTTTACTCTATATACCCTTATATTACATAATCACTTTTAGATCTCTGTCTACTATATACACAAAACAAGGTCATTCACCTATATATATAACCAACCAAAAAACATACCATAGATTGTTTCTATGTGGGTGAGAATTAAAGAGTGAAACAATCTTTGCATCTGTTTATCTTCCATTAAAAAAAACTAAGCAATCTGTGTGTGATCAGAAGTGAAGAAATAAAATTCTTCTTTTACAGCTCACGCTTAATTGCATCAGAACTATGATAGTGAAAGGTTGGCTAGCAAACTTTACATGACACAATCAATCATCAGATTGTTTTCAACTAAGTTCCACTCTTCTATTACACAGTTATTATGAATTTTAATGTGAATCTGAAACTTGTTATTGTTCTCATTTAGTCAACATCCCAATGTACACACATATATAAACAAATTCACCCTTAACGACTGACCTGTTTATAGCCCCTATTTAATTGTGATATATATATTTTTGAAAACTATCATGTTACCATGATAAAAAAGATATAGGCGGCAAATGAAATCAGATGATGAACTGTGAATTATATGTTTATAACCTGCTTAGTCAAAAGGAGGAGATTAAAGGTTATGGAGAATTTAGTGACAGTGACCCTGTACTCAATATTATGCTTAAAGTTTATTTAGTGCACAAGGAAAAAAAGACTCAAGTCGATTAATTTGCTTAATAGTAACAAGATAATAATTATATTAATTTTTTATGATGAACTCAAATGTAGGATGAGTATTCAGCTCAATTATATTATTATTTAGAGTGAAGAAAAGTCAATGAAAATATTAATGATAACATTGTATTAGGTTATTAAAGAAGAAACTGAAATGAAGTATGTTTTCTATTAAGATCAAATAGTGACTAGTAGTGGTGGTATGTTTCTTCTTATTTGAGATTCGTCAACCATATGTACCTACATCTCAGTGTTAATGTTCACAATAAGACCCAATACCTTTTGTTTCAAATGTCATATGGCAAAATCTTGTGACTAAGTGGTGATATCGGAACAATTCCCTTAAGATGAACGTATGCCGATAGACGATAATAAATAAATTTTGATTATT